ATCCTCCTGGACTGGGGCACAAACCCGTGTCCCCTGCATCGGCAGGCGGACTCTCAACCGCTGCACCACCAGGGAAGCCCTTCTTTTTTCTTCAATTTTATTTATCTTTGGCAGTGTTGGGTCTTCGTTGCTGCGTGGGGCTTTCTCTAGTTGCGGTGAGCAGGGGCTACTCTTTGTTGCGGTGCATGGGCTTCTCATTACGGTGGCGTCTCTTTTTGCGGAGCACGGGCTCTAGACGCACAGGCTTCAGTAGTTGCGGCACAAGGGCTCAGGAGCTGTGTCCCGCGGGCTCTAGAACGCAGGCTCAGTAGTTGTGGCACATGGGCTTAGTTGCTCCATGGCATGTGGGATCTTCCCAGACCAGGGATTGAACTCATGTCCCCTTCTTTGGCACGTGTGTTCTTAGCCACTGCACCACCAGGGAAGTCCCTCTCTTTTTTTCGTAGTCTGTCTAGCTGAAGTTTTTTCAATTTTATTGATCTTTTCGGAGAACCAACTTTTGGCTTGATTGACTTTCCTCTGTTGTTTTTCTCTTCTCTGTTTAATTTCTCTTTGCTCAAACCTTTATTATTTACTTCCTTCTGGTAGGTTTGGGTTTAGTTTATTCATCTTTTTTCTAGTTCCTGAGGTTTTAAAGTTAGGTTGTTGATTTGATTTTTTTTTTGATGTGTTTAAAACTGTAAATTTCCCCCTTGGTGGGAAATCAGCTTAGCTTTCACTGCATCTCATGTTTTAGTATGTTGTGTTTTTGTTTTCATTTGTCTCTAAGTATTTTCTAATTTCTCTGTGATTTCTTCTTTGATCCATCAGTTGTCTAAAATTGTGTTAATTTCCACAATTTTGTAAATTCTTCGGTTTTCTTTTTTGTTATTGATTTCTAACTTCATTGTGTTGTGGTTAGAGAAGATACTTGGTATATCTATCTTTTAAAATCTATTGAGTCTTAATTTGTGGCCTAATGTGTCATCTCTCCTGGAAAACGTCCCATGTGCATGCACTTGAGAAGAATGTGTATTCTGCTGTTGTTGGGTAGTGTTCTGTATATGTCTGTTAGATCTAGTTGGTTTATTATGTTAAGTCCTCTGTTTCCATACTTATGTCTGGTTGTTTTGTTCATTATTGTGAGTAGGCTATTGAAGTCTCCAACTATTATTGTAGAACTGTCTGTTTCTCCCTTCATTTCTTAGTTTTTGCTCCATATGTTTTCATGACTTGTCATTACATATGTAAATGTTTATAATTGTATATTCTTGCTGTATTGAACCTTTTATTAATATATACTGTCCTTTTTTGTTTCTTGTAACATTTTTTATTTAAAATCTTATTTTTGTCTGATACTGGTGTAGCCACTTTGGCTCTTTTTTTGGTTACTGTTTGCATGGAATATTTTTTTCAATCCTTTTCATTTCAACCTGTTTGTGTTTTTGGATCTCAAATGAGTCTTGTGTAGACAGCATATAATTGGATCGTGTGTTTTTATTCATTCTGCCAATCTCTGTCTTTTGATTGGAGTGTTTAATTCATTGATGTTTGTAGTAATTACTGATTAGGAAGGACTTATTTCTGGTATTGTGCTATTTGTTTCCTATGTGCCTTAGAGCTTTTTGAGCCTCATTTCCTGTATTACTGTCTTCTTTTGTGTTTAGTTGATCTTTTTTTGTAGTGAAATGTTTAAGTTCCTTTCTTACTTATTTTCTTATGTGTATACTCTATAGGCATTTTCTTTGTGGTTATCATGAGGATTACATTTAACATCCTAAAATTATAATACTCTAATTTGAATTTATACTAGCTTAGCTTCAATAACAGACAAAAAGTCTGCTTCTTTACAGTTTCATCTCTACCCTTTTCAGTTGTTGATGTCACAAAATTGCATCTTTATACATTGTGTGCCTAAAAACATGAACTAAAAATTCAAATTATTAAAATTGTTTAATTTAAATTTTATTTAAGTTCTATTTTTTACTTATTATTTTAAGTATTCTCCTAAATTATGTAGGAAACGTGATTTGGTGTAACAAAGCAAAATTACAGTAAAACTAGTTTTTTACATTAATAATTCTTTAAAAATGTATTTGTCTCTCAAATATAAAAAGTACAGTTACAAACCACTGTTACAATAATACTAGCTTTTCTACTTACCCATGTATTTACTTTTATATTCATATAGCTTTGAGTTACTGTCTAGTGTTCTTTCATCTCTTTCATTTTGTAGGTCTCCCTTGAGTTGCACACCAGGTCTAGTGATCATGAACTCCCTCAGCTTTTGTTTATCTGGGTGTGTCTTATTTTCTCCCTCACTTTTGTGAGGACAGTTTTTCTGGATATAGATCCTTCATTGACACATTTTGTCTTTTAGTACTTTTAACATATCCGCCCATTGTCTTTTGGCCTCCAAAGTTTCTGATGAGAAATCTGCTGATAATCTTATTGAGATCACTGGTATGTGATGATTCACTTCTCTTCTTGTTTTCAAGATTCTCTCTTTAGCTTTTTGGAAGTTTGATTATAATATGTCTTGGTGTGGGTCTCTTTGAGGTCATATTTTTTGGAGTCTCTTGGATGTTTATGTTCATGTCTTTCATTAAATTTGGGAAGTTTTCAGCCAGTATTTCTTCAGATATTCTCTCTGCCCCCTTCTCTGTCTTTTATCCTTCTAGGACTCTCATGATATGTATGTTGATCTGTTTGATGGTGTCCCACAGGTCCCTTAGGTGCTGTTTATGTTTCTTCAATCTTTGTCAGACTTGATAATTTTCATTGTCTTAGCTTCAACTTTGCTAAATCTTTTTTCTACCTGCCCAGATCTGCCTTCAGATCCCTCTAATGATTTTTTTTACATTTATTTATTTATTTTTGGCTGCATTGGGTCTTCATTGCTGCACGTGGGCTTTCTCTAGTTGTGGTGAGTGGGGTCTACTCTTTGTTGTGGTGCATGGGCATCTCATTGCGGTGTCTTCTCTTGTTGCGGAGCACAGGCTCTAGGCGTGTGGGCTTCAGTAGTTGTGGCTAGTGGGCTCTAGAGCGTAGGCTCAGTAGTTGTGGTGCACAGGCTTAGTTGCTTCATGACATGTGAGATCTTCCCAGACCAGGGCTTGAACCTGTGTCCCCTGCATTGGCAGGCGGATTCTTAACCACTGTGCCACCAGGGAAGCCCCCCTCTAATGAATTTTTAATTTCAGTTATTAATATTACAGTTCCAGAATCTCTCTGTGGTTCCTTTTTAGGTTTTCTGTTTTTCTATTGATAGTTCCATTTTGTTAACACAAATGACTTTGTTCACATCTTCCTTTAGTTCTTTGAGCATCTTCAAGACAGTCTTTTTAAAGTCTTTGAAAAAGAACTAATAGCATTTTTACTAGACAGAGACAGTTTCTGTTGATTTATTTTTCCCGTTTAATAGGCCATACTTTTCTGTTTCTTTGTATGCCTTGTGATTTTTTTGGTTGTTAAATACTAGATGTTTGAGTCTAATAATGTGGTAACTCTGAAAATCAGATTTTTCCCTATTCCTTAAGGCTTCTTGTTTTTTTTTTGTTGTTTGGCTTTTTTTTTTTTTTTTTTTAATTGTTGTGGGCTGTCTTTATGATGAAGATCAGCTTGAGGTTTAAACTTAAAGTCTTCTCAGGTCTTTTCTGAGCCTTTTCCTGGGCATGCATGGTCACTTTCTGATTTTCCTTGTATATGCAGTTGTTTTTTAATGTCTTAGTCTTTAGTGTCTTACTTCCAAAAGGGGAAATAGTGAAAAATGCAGCGGTAAAGGGCACCAGCCTTTAAAATATCCTGGAAGTCACTTCAGATGAGAGGGAGGGGCCTGCAACAGTGGGAGGAGGTGCAATAACAGTGGCTGGCCACCTCTTTGTCTGCACCTCTGTGATCAGAAACAGTAGTGAGCAATCAGAGGAGAGATCCCTGATATTCAGAGGGTAGAGTCCTTCTTGCCTACTGTGGCTTCTGCAAACTCTGTGCAAGCTGCTCCAGAAACACGTGCACAGCTGCTTGCCACATGGCTGAGGGTGGGCAGCTGCTACTGTACACAGAGCTGAAATTGACCAAAGTCAACTGTAATTTACTAAGTCTTCTGGAAGTTGTAATCCTTCAGCAGACTCCAGAGTTTCAAAACAGTTACATCAGACAGATTCTGTCAGTGCAGTTGTTGTCTATGTGGGGAGACAGATTCCTTGTGCTTCTACTCCACCATCTTCCCACAATTTTCCAATTAGATTTTAAAGGAGTCCCTTCACTGATACAATTAGCTGAGGTGGCTTATGTGACATTTAGTGTAAAAGTACAAAGTCACCTGTTCTTCTTTCAACAGTGATTTATATGGTCATTTTACATATATGGTATTGGTAAACTATAATTTCTAGTAATCATTTTTTGAGTGGTTGTTTTATGTGTGTTTTGTTATTTTTTTTCAGTCTCAGCTAACTGGACAATGGCAGTTGAGTACGTTTTGAAAAATGTCTGAAGTTTAGTGGACTGCATCTACCTTCTCCCCATCTACCTTTTCCCCGTCCTTTACAAAAGAATAAATGGGATGTTTGAGAAGAGAGCTGTATTAAAAGAAGAGTGTTACAAATGGCTTCAGAATCTGTGAATGCAAAACAAGCTAGGAATCGCTTCACAAAGGGGAAGAGGCAACAGCACCAGCAAATAAAGAACAGATCTTCACTTGGTGATGGTGATGGAGAAGACTCCTTTATCTTTGAAGCAAATGAAGCTTGGAAAGATTTTCATGGTTCTCTTCTTCAGTTTTATGAAAATGGAGAACTCTGTGATATCACATTGAAGGTGAGACTGTCTTTTTTTCTTTCCTCAACCTCTTCAGTGTATTATATAAAATAAAGGTTTCCATAACCACGCAAGGCAAATTTTTGGTGCTTTACTTATTATAGTCAGAACAGTTTTAGTTTCAACCCTTTATTGCATTGAAGGGGAAGGGACATAAGGGAGGGTAAGTAAAGGGAACCTAGCATAAGATAAAATTATTATACTAATTAAATGTTGATATTCACTATTTCTTAGTTTCACTTCTGAAAGTTCTGGAGCCCTAAAACAACAAATAGTTATTATTTGTGAAATGGATAAATTGCTGTTGACCAGATAAGCTTTTTTTTTTTTTTTTTTGGCTGCACTGTACGGCTTGCGGGATCTAAGTCCCCTGACCAGGGATTGAACCTGCACCCTCCTCAGTGAAAGCGTGGAGTCCTAACCACTGGACCGCCAGGGAATTAGCTTTTAACTTGTGAATTAAAAAATCTTGATGTTGGGAATTCCCTAGTGGTCTGGTGGTTAGGACTCCATGCTTCCATTGCAGGGGACATGGGTTTGATCCCTGGTCAGGGAACTAAGATCCTGCATGCTGCCTGGCGCAGCCAAAAAAAAAAAAAAAACCAAACTTGATGTATTCACTTACTCTTGATGTTAGTTAGAAGTCAGAATTCTTGGTTGTATATGTAACTGCACTAGTGTTTAACTGTGTGTTCCTATTCTGGTGTAAGCATATCTTGTTTTTCTGCACTTTTTTGCTTTATTGTGTTTCTCAGATAATGTGTTTTTTGTTTGTTTGTTTGTTTTAAACAAATTGAAGGTTTGTGGCAGCCCTGAGTTGTCAGGTGATGGTTAGCGTTTTTTAGTCTAAACATAACTTTTATATGCACCGGGAAACCAAAAAATTCATGTGACTTGCTTTATTGAGATATTTGCTTTATTGCAGTGGTCTGGAACTGAACCTGCAGTATCTCCAAGATATGCCTGTAATTTAATCTCTATTTCAATATTACCGTCTTTAAGTGAGATTGTTTATTTTTACCTGACAGTGAAGTAGAGTGTTTTTTAGACTTGGATGAAAAAGTCTTTAGTAAACTTTGTCTAAGGCCTATATGATCATGTTGCTCTGCTACAAAGGACAGTTTTAATAAAGTTGGAAAATTGATAAAGCAGTGTTGAAGAGCCTGTGTTCTAATTGTTTTTCATAGCTCATTTAAAGTACTTCTTACTATTCTTATCTCTCAGTGTAATATTAAATATTTTTGAGGATTTATGTGTATACATGCAGCATTTTCCACATGAGATTTGCCACTTTGGGATGTTTTAGATTTTGCTTTCTGCTCCTGATCAGCCAGGTTCTTAGAGCTCAGAGTTGTGGGGATTGAGGACACCCTTAGAGAATCAGATCAGGGACACTCAGCAAAAGTCTATAAACTGAATGCATAAATTCTGAGTTTTAGGCCCAGAATGTCCAGGAGTATAGTGTTATACTGTAAATAAATGACCTACATTCTCTTTACTTAAACTTTTAATTAGGACCTACAAATATGTAAGGACACTAAGATATTGAGAAGAAAACTATTAAATAATTTTACTAGCTTTATGTGAAATTTAGCCATGTATAAATTTTAATGAAGGAAGACCTAAACTGTAGGTGTAGAACACCTGATCTGTATAGTATATTATGTTTAATGCCATTGTTCTAATTTTCAACGCAAGTGTGAAATTCAGTGACCCACACTGGATTTGACAAAAATAAAAATGTAAAATAGATTATTTGAATTTAATAAATTATCAGTTCATCATATCAGTATACGTTGGAAAATAATTAAATAGAATATTATTGATTGTATACATTTTATAATTGGATCTTAGAATAATTTTTACTAGCTACTGCATGTAAACTTTCTTAAGTGAAAAGTAAGGATACAGCCATTTTAGGGCAAGTGATAACTAATCTCATAACTTTTCTTTGTTTATTGGGTAACTTCAGCAATAGGTTGAAGTGAAAACCTCAGAAGAATCTATGGTGGAAAAAAAAAGAATATGGTGGAAACCCAAAATTACTGTGTTTGAAGCAGTGATAGAAGTCATTTAGCAATGAGAAACTTTACTAATTTAAAGGAGCTATCATTTTTATTTTTTCAACTGTAAAATTATGACGATTAGGTTTTTGTGAGGAATAAGTGAATTGATAACATGTGAAGTCCTTATAACAGTGCTCAGTACATAATAATAAATAATCAGCTGTTAGGATCATTATGTGTACTATTCTTGTTGTTCCAAAAGTATTAGATAATGCTTCTACAGTATATTCTTACCATTAGAAAGAACTGTAGCTTAATCTTTTAGCAGGTCTGTTATTGGATTTGTTTCTTAATTCTAATTCAACATTTCTTAAACTTTCAGAATTTAACTGTCACAGAACAACTAAACCAAGCAGGATTATGGGTAGTTTACAATGCTCTGTTCAATACAAACTTCACTTTTTACATTCATATAACCTTGAGGATTATACTTTGATATATGCATCTCCTTTTTTTATTAGTATGCTTCATTAGATCATTATTGCTTTTAGGACAAGCATTTTAGAAAGACAGTTATCAAAACTGGTTTTATTGTTCATATGTAAGGCCATTAGTGTGTTTTTAAATTCCAAAGTGAGCACTGATATTGGAAAAACAAACTCATTTAACAGATATTTACTAAGGTCTTACCCTAGTATATGGAGAGTATAAATAAATCTGAATAATGTGCTGTACTTGCATTGAGGGAGTTTGAAATTTAGCTGGAGATAGGCACATACACAGCTAACTAAAATACAATTTAGTGATTGTCATTTTATGATATTTTTATGGAAGCATAGGAGAGGATCTGTTAACTATGTCTGAGAGGTGATTGGAAAGGCTTCACATAGGAGATTATATATAATCTTGAGGTCATTCCAGGGAAAGGTAAAACTTGTTTATATATTATTATGTATTTATTAGTGAAAATATTTTAGAACAGTATATCTAGTGGCAGCTCTAAAGTTATGTATGAGGGAAGATTCTTAAGGGCAACAGTTTGGTGTGGAAAAGGCAGAGGGAAATTGTCTTGAAAGGGGTATTGCATAGCTCTCATAATGCTTAAATTATACATCATAGATCAACAAGACTAGCATCTACAAAGATGCTTTTATTTATGTTTTATGTAGTTTGAGGAAATGTCATTATCCTTGTTAAAGATCATAGTTAATTTTACCTCAAGAAGTTGATAGAGATTATTAGAGGAGGACAATCCCTTACATCATCTCTTGATGCCATCACTGATTATGTTTCAGTCATGTTGTTTGGCTTTTTTTTTTGAAAGTGCACATTTCTGTGATTTTTTTTTTTAAAACAAGTATTTATAGGATTCTAATGAACACGTTCAAGACTCTAAGTGTTATAATTATTGGCTGTCAAAACTTTCAACTGATCAGGTAAGAATAAGTGCTCTGAAAGATTGCAGAGAAACAAAGTATTTGAACTGCATTATAGTAGTATACTTCCAAGAGGTAGAAATGATAAAATTGTTATTCTTATAAATGTAGCAGTTAACTCATGACCGGAGAGCAGGCATAATCTAATAAAAGAGAAACTAAAGGAGAAAGTGATTTTTTAAAAACATAAATTTATTTATTTTTGGCTGTGTTGTGTCTTCGTTGCTGCATGCCAGCTTTCTCTAGCTGCAGTGAGCGGGGGCTACTCTTTGTTGTGGTATGCGGGCTTCTCATGGCGGTGGCTTCTCTTCTTGTGGAGCACAGGCTCTAGGTGCACAGGCTTCAGTAGTTGTGGCTCGCGGGTTCTAGAGCACAGGCTCAGTAGTTGTGGTGCATGAGCTTAGTTGCTCTGCGTCATGTGGGATCCTCCCAGACCAGGGCTCGAACCCGTGTCCCCTGCATTGGCAGGCAGATTCTCAACCACTGCGCCACCAGATAAGCCCCTTGGAAGGAGTTCTTTAGACCCAACCAAGTTATCAGTTACTTGCTGCGCAGTCTTAATTTGGATGTTTGGTGGTCGTCTGGGTGGATCTTTTCAAGTCCAAAGACATAGAGCAATAGGAGAATGAGAAAGACTGAGTGGGAAAAGCCTTGGCCTCAGTGCGCTTCTTCATGGCCAGAGAACTGGTCTCTGCCAGATCCTGCAGGCAACGTCAGCTGCCACTTAACGGGCTACTTGAATCTACATGGCTCAGGATAAGTCCCAGCCACCCTTCAGAGGGGAGCCATAGCCCAATAGGCGGATCGAGATTATGGCCTTTGAGGCCCCGCATTGGGTGCCAGGAAAGATGTTGCAGGAAAGAGAGTGGGGTGCGAGAGGATGGTCACATCCCAAGTCATGTCTGAGTCCCTGGGATGGCTGCCAAGTGTGGGTTCTTGGCTTTGTGCAGGCAAGGATTCAAGAGCAAGACATAGTAAAGTGAAAGGTTTATTCAGGGAGATACACACTCCATAGAGCCCCAATTTTTTGATGTTCCTATTTCATATATAAGGCTCAAAGATCTTTTTAAAGTTAAGATGTGTATTTATTTATTTATTTATTTTTACAAAAATGTTAGTTTGCATTAGCCCCACATTCACAAAACTTAGAAAACAAAAGAAAATGTCCAGCCATTGTAGAACTCTAACATCCAAGTATCAATTCCTTTATTCCAATCAAAAACAATGTTCCCAGAATTCAGCACAAAACTGAAAACACTGCTGCTACCAGCCATAGTCCATAACGGTAACTTTAAATTGTCCAAGGGGATTAAGGAAGCATTTTAAATCACTGTCACTCCTACCAAAGGATTTTAGGCAACGAGAATTTATTTTCATACAAGAATAAATTTGCATTTTATCATTAAACAGTATGAGGGCCTTAACTGGGAATTACCAGTTTATAAACTTTCTCCCCCAAATTTGTGAATATATCTGAATGTTAAAATTTTCTTATTTAGAAGATGGGTATTTATTCTAAAAGGGTGCATAAGGGTATGATTTAGTGTGTATGTGTGTATATTAAATATACATGTTTTAGTTTATTTGAATCAAATTAAAGTTACAGAGGGACAGAGCCTTATAAACAACATGAAAATAGCTTGAGGGCCATTGATTTGTACAGCTTGGATGAGGAGGCATTGTAAAAATGATGTTTATCTGAAAATTATAGTACTTTCTTTTCCTAAAAAAAAAAAATACTAAAAAAAAACAACAACTTTGTGTCGAGGGCTGACTTTCAGTAGATTGCAGCGAGGGAGCTCCTCTGCTACCTATAAAACCCCGACCCAGAAGCAGTCGTCTACGAATGGTTTAGCACCAGTTTCCCAATGAACGTGCAGTGCGTGACAGGCAAGGGGGCGGCTGCCTTTCTGGCCGCACCTGTAGTACCTTATTTTATAGTACTATTATGTAATAGAGTCTTTGTAAGTTGTTTAGTTGAGCAGGTTTACGTCATGTGAGATTTACGGATATTTACATAGAAACTAAATCTCAGTGGTGGCCAGTGCAGATGATCAAAAAAAAAAAAGATATTTTTAGACTATTTTTTAAATGTTTAATATCAGCTTTCAGATCCCATTTTAGGGCTAACGTGAATTTGAGAACATGCCAAGCTTTCTGCTGTAGTATAGTTTACAACTTGAATCTCAGTAGACTCTAAATCCTGCCTTCTAAATTATTTTAACAAAGTAAATATAGTATAACCAACAGAAACAATCATCTTGTACTTGTTGAAATAAGTGATATTCATTCTTACTCTACATTAGTGAAAAAAGCTGGGTAAGGGGCATTTATAAGCAAAACCTTTTATACATTGTAACATTCCTCAGGCCTTTTTCTTTAGGAGTTCTTATTTTAAAATTAGTTCCCAAATAATGAAACACAACTATAAGTGTATTACATAATCAAAATGTTACATGGAAACAGGATAATTGCTAAAACACTACTATCCTATTACTTGTACTCATTGATTATTTAACATAAAGTGCTGGGAAAACTGGATAACTACTGTGTTCAAAATAAGATGAGTAAGAGGTACAAACTATATGTATAAAATAAGGTACAAGGATATATTGTACAACACAGGGAATATAGCCAATGTTTTATAATAACTGTAAATGGAGTATAACCTTTAAAAATTGTGAATCAGTATATTGTACAACTGTAACATATAATATTGTACAGCAACTATACATCAATAAAAAAAGATATCTGTCTTCTCAGTACCAAAAACTTCCGGATGGAAATAGATTTGTGAAAAACATAAAACTAGAAAAAATACCTGTAAATATTTATGGACTGTTAGAATGATTCCCATTTCAAACATAGCACCTAAGGCAGAAGTCATAAGGAAAAAGATTGATTGGATTATATAAAAGCCCATAGGGAGTGAATAAAATTTTGAAGCATACTTATAAAACAGAAGTTTTGAAATGTATATATGACAAATGACTAATATTCTAAATGTCTGAGGAGTTCTTACAAATGAGAAAAAAAAGTCATGGAGTTCTTAGAAGAAATAAGCGTAGTCCAAAATTTATGAATGATTCAATCATATTAGTAACAAGTAAACTAAAACAATGAGATATTTCATACATTGAATTGGCAGATTTTTCTTAAGATAACATTCAGAATATGGCACAAATATTGTAAGTGGATCAGAAATGGACAGTTTAGTAGTATGTATCCAAATTGTACTTATCCTTTGAAACAGCATTTCTGTTTTTAGGAATTTATCTCTAGGAAATAATAGAGAATGTAAACAAAGATTCTCCTACAACAGTTCACTTCTGTGTTTGTAATGGCAGACTATTGGAAGCAATCTAATTTTTCAACACGGTGAGATTTCAGTGTTATTACATTTCTATAAAATATCATTTCAAAATGATTTAAATAGGAAATGAAAAAACTTCAGTTAAGCTCATAGTAAATACTAACATTGATTTGTTTACTCTGCTTCAATTTTCTCACTGGTAAATTGTGGATAATAATAGTATTGACTCATAGGGGCATTGGGACAATCGAGTGAGTTAATATATGAAAAGCACTTAGAATAGTGCCTGACACGATAACTGTAGTTAACAATATTGTGTTGTATATTTGAAAGTTGCTAAGAGAGTAGATCTTAAAAGTTCTCATCAGAAAGAAAAAAATTTGTAATTATATGAGGTGATGAATAGCTTACTAAAACTGTGCTAATCGTTTCACAATATATACATATATCAAATCATAATGTTGCATACCTTAAACTTATACAACATTGTACGTCAATAAAATTGGAAAAAAAGAAGGGACTCTTAGACCAAAAAAAAGTATAGTGCCTGATACATAGTAAGTGCTAGGTGATGTTTGCTATTAGCCTCATTAATTCACAAAATGCTTCTGAAATGTGAGATAATACAGAAAAATCATAGTTTATGGTATAATACATTATAGATACATGTATAAAAGATTTGACTCTAACTTGGAAGAAGAAAATTGCCTGACCTTAAGAAATTGGCCTAGATTGAAAGTAAGTGACAGGATTACATTGTTAAAACAAATACACTAAACTTGTCTGGAGTTTTTATCCCTGCTATACAGCATGTACTCAATGCTGATCTCAGGCTAATTTTGATATTAAACTGAGTCTCTCTTTGTTTTGTTTTGAACAGGTTGGCTCAAAGCTAATCTCTTGTCACAAACTGGTATTGGCTTGTGTTATTCCCTACTTCAGAGCTATGTTTCTCTCTGAAATGGCTGAAGCCAAGCAAACACTGATTGAGATCAGAGATTTTGATGGTGATGCAATAGAAGACTTGGTAAAGTTTGTCTATTCTTCACGACTCACTTTGACTGTTGACAATGTCCAGCCTCTCTTATATGCAGCCTGTATTCTACAGGTTGAACTGGTGGCTAGAGCTTGTTGTGAATACATGAAGTTACATTTTCATCCCTCCAATTGTCTGGCAGTAAGAGCCTTTGCAGAAAGTCACAATCGAATAGACTTAATGGACATGGCGGATCAGTATGCCTGTGAGCATTTTCCTGAAGTGGTGGAGTGTGAAGACTTTGTACGTGTGTCACCCCAGCATCTCCATAAGCTTTTGTCCTCCAGTGATCTAAATATTGAGAATGAAAAGCAGGTCTATAGTGCAGCCATCAAGTGGCTTCTTGCCAATCCTCAGCATCATTCCAAATGGTTGGATGAAACACTTGCACAGGTAGGGATGAATAAGATTGTGTATAGAAATGAAATGATATGGAAGCAAATCAGCATGTCCCATTTATCATAAAAAGTATAGATTATCCATTGATGTAATATGATGTGGAAATGGCTTTGACTCTTTCCTACTTACTAAACCATTTAAGGATAAGTCTGAATGTGTTTTATTTGAATTAGAAAGATCATTACTTGCTTTTTAACCTGAATATTTTAAAAATCCCTTTGAGATATCATTAGTACAGACCAGTACTGGAAATTGCTTTAGGACTTGGCACATTGAGCTTCATTCAGATTTTAGAAGGTAAATGAGTTTTTAAAAGAGAACATGCTGCAGTGAAAGTAGAGAATGAACTGTCCGATTGCAACTTAAATTTTATATCTACAACTATTCACAATCTTAGGTTCGTTTGCCGCTGTTGCCGGTTGATTTTCTTATGGGTGTTGTGGCAAAAGAACAGATTGTCAAACAAAATCTAAAATGTAGAGATTTATTGGATGAAGCAAGAAATTACCACCTTCACTTGAGTAGCAGAGCAGTACCTGACTTTGAATACTCCATTCGGACTACCCCAAGGAAACATACTGCTGGTAATTAAATTACTCATTTTATCAACTCTGCTCTAAGGAATTTTGTTGTATTTGAGGGGTGGTTATGTTTGCCAAAACCTAGTTGTAAGATGATTAGTATCTGATTGTCTTAAAGTAATAATTGGCAAGTATGGTTATATATGAATTCTTACTGTGCATGATTTCAGATAGTTTTACCAATAAGCCTATTTTTTAAAAAGCTGTAACAAGACTTATACACTCTGAAGAGCCTGCTGAAATATCTTTTCTTTGGGGGTCTTTTTGATTCTTCTAGGCAGAATTAGATCCTCTGTCATTTTTGCTTAAATGACACTTGCTTTTCACATTTTACTATGTTGCATTGAAATTTATTTGACATGTTTTGAGCCCTTCAGAGACAGGTAGGTATCTTAATAACTTTGTATCCCTGGTACCAAACATGGAGCTTAACACATACTGCATATTTAAATGTTTGTTTTTGCATTTTATCACATCAAAAGAAAGGTACTTAATACATCTAATGTTAATAGTATAACAGACCACATTAAACTCTTAGAATATAAAGCTCTTATGCAGTTTCGCCTTTATTTGCCATAATTTACAGACTTTCATGTTTTCCCAAGAAAATAGTTTTATGTTCACTTATGTTACTCTTTAAAAAGAATATATTTGTGGGATAAGGGAGAATAAATGTGGTCAGTGAATTCTGGAATCAGTACGCTGAACACAGACTTCCTGTACATCTGCTGTGACCTAATGTGGTTATTAAAAAAAGAGTTCCGTGGAATAGCCTAAAAACAACAAAAGGCAGTACATGGTAATGAATAGTGGGACTTTATCTAGATAGTATAAAGAAAATTTGAATGTTGTAGATCTGCCTGTGAAGAAGTAGTTCTTCTAAATAGTTTAACATGAAAAGGATGGCTTATTTTTCTTTTATAGGTTGGTTTCAAGTATTAAATTTTTGAAGTGTAGATTTTTTAGTTGTGAATCCTGTTTCAAGAAGTCAAGGTATTTAATTCTTCAGATTCAGACTTGAATTCAAAGATTTTGGCAGTCTAGGTTATATGCCAAATGTATTAGACCCTCATATACATGATCTCTTACATGATTGCAAGAACTTTATGAAGTAGGTTTTAGTGAAGGATCTGACCCTTATTGTGAGAAAGGTGGTGTTACTCCATTTTATGGATGAGGAAGCTGAGAATCAGAGAGAGTGAAAGGATGCCCAAGGCTACACAGAACAGTGGAGAAAGGATTTGTGTTGTGATCTTTTTACTTCATTTTAATTTTTTTCCTTCCATGTCATGTCCCTAGGTGACCTATGTAGCTGAAATATTAGGGTCCACTTAAATAAAATCTAATCAATAATTGGGATTACATTCTGGTAATGTAATGTACACACATTGTAATTGTACATATGTACATGTAAATGTACATACATATGTAATTACATACATTCTGTATGTAATGATTACATACAGCTGTGCCATAAAGCATCTGTAATTTGGGGCAGATTTCTTAATCTCTGAAGGCTTCAGTTTATAAATAACTTTGACTGCAGGATCTTTAAAATCTCTTTCAACTTTCAATTTCTCTGACTTAAAACATTGAATTGGTTGGAAAAGATAGCACAGGCAGTTCTGGTCATTCATGTATGTAGTCATTCAGCAAACATATATTAAGTGCCTACTATGTGCCGGGTTCTGGGTTAGGCATTAGAAATGTAAACACACAAATAGACTACAGCCGTTCCTATTTTGAGAGAACTTTCAGTCTGATCTAGGGAAATAGACATATGAATAAGTAAATGCCATAAAGTATTAAAGGTACTTTGATATAATCAAAAGGTATAGTGGGAAGCAAAAAGAGTGGTTATTTTTACTTTGGAAGGGACAGAAAAGGTTTTATAGGGAAAATAACCCCCAGTCTTAGTTTTGAATAATAAATAGATGTTTTTCTGGGTGCCAGTTAGAGAAAAGGGTATCAGTTTATTTTACATTTATTGAATGTTTAGTACACGCCAAGCACTGTACTCGTCTTTAGTAGTGCATAAACGCTTAACACACTATCTTAATCTCGCTTAGACTCTGGTGACAGATATCAGCATAATAGATCATTTCAATACTGTATGTTACATGAATGAGAGTTACCAAAAGTTGTTACCAGAACATTGAGGATGATCACTATATGGGTGATGCAGGAGCTTAAACATTAAGGGAAAGACAGGGAGAAAATCACGTTGGACAATGCAAGGCCTTTATGCTCTACTAAGGCTTTATCCTGTAGAGCAGTGGTTCTCATAGTGTGAAGCAAGTGGTGGCCTCTTGACCAGCAGCATGAGCATTCACTTGGGAAGTTTTTAAAAATTCAAAATTTTGGACCTACCCCAAACCAACTGAATCAAACTCTTGGTGGGAGAGGGGTCAGGCCCAGCAATCTGTGTTTTATAAAATAGCTCCTCTGGTGATTCTGAATCAGAATAAAGGTGTTTTTTTTTTCCTTTTTTTTAATTTGGCTGAGTCGGGTCTTAGTTGTAGCACACGGGATCTTTGTTGAGGCATGCAGGATCTTTTAGTTGCAGCATGTGGGATCTAGTTCCCTGACCAGGGTTCAAACCCGGGCCCCCTGCATTGGGAGCATGGAGTCTTAACCACTGCGCCACCAGGGAAGTCCCCAGAATAAAGTTTTGATTTGTTAAGAAAAATTGTGGTAAAACACGTATACCATAAAAATCGCCATTTTAACCATTTTTAAATGTACAATTTAGTGGCATTCAGTAAAATTTTTAAGAACTACTGATACAGGTAATGAAAAGCTGTTGAAAGAGCCTTTTAATTAGATTATTCAGTTGACAGTCTGAAAGCAAAAGAGTACTAAGTGATAAGAGAGAACAAGATTTTGCAGTAATAGCTGATGAGGGCCTGAACTAACAGTGGCTGTGGGAATAGCGAGGGAGAGAAAGGATACCTCAGGGAAGGACGAAGGTCTTTAGGTGGGTGAGGAAGGGAGATCTTTTATGATGGGTTTGAGGTGCCTCTGGGACATCAAGTGGAAATGTGGCTTAGAAGTGTAGATTGGAAGGCATTATGATACAGATGGAATTTTAAGTAAAGGGATTGAACTTTTCCTGTGTAAGCATGAAGTATGTGAGAAGTAGGCTGAGAATGAAACAGAAAACATAGAAAAGAGAGAAATGATTGGAGACAAAAGGAGACTTTGATATTATGGAAATCAAGAGTTAAGGAGTTTCCAAAAAAACTAGGGTGATCGGTATATCAAATGTTGTAATTGTATTCAGTCAGAAATTAACTTTATGAGTTTGTTGGATTTTGTCATGACCTTACTAGCAAGAGCAATTTTTCAGGGTGGGTGAGGAACTCAACCGTATTATAGTGGAATGTTAACAAGCTGAGATAACTGATGTATTCTAGTCTTTGAAAAGTTCAAATGAGGGGGAAAAAAAGAAAATTAGATTTTTAGTGGTATAATGATGTTAAATGCTATCCAAATAACTTTTTTTTTTCCTGTTAATCAAAATTTTGAGTTCGTAAGTTTTTTTCCACACTTATCTTTTTTTTTTTTTTTTTTTTAGTTAGGGGGAATTTCCTGGCAGTCTAGTGGTTAGAACTCCATGCTCTCACTGCCATGGGCCTGGGTTCAATCCCTGGTCAGGGAACTAACATCCCACAAGCCATGTGGTATGGCCAAAAAATAAAATTAGCTGTAAAAAAAAAAAAAGGGAGCTGTGATTTTAACCTCTATTTTGTGGCTTTACCTTTAGGTGTGCTATTTTGTGTAGGTGGTCGAGGTGGATCGGGTGACCCCTTTCGCAGTATCGAATGCTATTCTATCAACAAAAACAGTTGGTTCTTTGGACCAGAAATGAACAGTCGAAGGCGACATGTGGGTGTAATCTCAGTGGAAGGTGGGTCTGCTTTTGTGTTAAATCACATCGTGTCACCACAATGGTCTTTTAAATATTTGAACTTTGAGAATTTCTTTCTGTAAGAAAATTCCTACATTATAAAATATGTTTCAATATATCAGATTATTTGGTGAATGTTTACTTGCTTTATGCCCATAGATGCTCAGTATACAATCTCTTGCATATAGATGCTTAACAGGAGATGAGTATTAAGGAAAAGGGAGTTAAACTATTCTGAGTTATATTTACAAAATAACCAAACTAAAGAAAAATATTTATTGAACACAAATAATAAATATATATTAACTTTTTTCTATACCTAATTATTATTATTGAAATGAGGTTTTTTACCTGGTTACTAAAAATGAATTAATTGCAGAACCATGGATAAATTGTTAGGAGAATTAAAAAGTCACTTTTCTTCCAGTTATAGAAGTATAAATGCTTTGGGGAGAAATAAGAAAACATATTTTAATAAAAAACAAAAATCATCCGTAACCCAGACACCTAAATAGTCACAGTTACCATTTTGGTATGTTAATAGTTCCAATTTTTATTTGTTTCATTTAGAAAAGATTTGATATATTAAGAGTTTTATATTTTCTTTATACAAGAGCATTTTTTCATTTTATTAAACATTCTTTGCAAGGATGATTAGTGATTTCATCTACTAAGTAATAAAAAGTTGGGAAACCGAAGGGCAGGATAATGTTTGAACATTTAAATAACTTGTAAAACAGCATGTTTCAGGCATTTTATTAAGCAGAAGCTTACCTTTATTTTCATTTGACTACTGAAGTGACTTGATCATAATGTTGAACAGAAGAATATTTGTTGAAAGTTAATTTATTGTGCTATTTTAATTATATATTGATTATATATAAATTTATTTACTTGGAAACAAATGAAAATACTTCTTTACTTTACAGGTAAAGTGTATGCAGTGGGTGGACATGATGGAAATGAACATTTAGGTAGTATGGAGATGTTTGATCCTCTCAATAATAAATGGATGATGAAGGCATCAATGAACACAAAGAGGTAGATGAGCATGGACATTTATTTTGATTTGTTGGTGGAAAATAAAGAAAGCTTCCTGTAACTGAAAGGGCTAATTTTTTACTCTACATTTTTAGAAACTTTAAATACCTTCCTAAACACATTTTGTTAAAGCATCCAATGTGATGCTTCGTTATAACTTTAAAAATTTTCCTGAGAATTTAAGAATAGAATCATGTCTTTTGAGTATGATAATGATTGTCATAGTTTTGACTCATACCTGAGCATTTATTTAACTTTTTATTTTGAAATAATTTAAAATTTTCAGAAAAGTTTCAAAAATAGTTGCATTCCTATGTACTAGTGGTGCTCAACTGAAGATAATTTTGCACATGGGGATACGTTGACATCTAGTTTTCTATTCTTGATTAATTTAACATAGTATTTTTAACTGAGTTTTCTTGTGTGTTAGAAGTATGAAAACTTAGATGGAAATGTGAAGAGAGTTCGGCTGAAAAGAGATTTTTGGCCTTTTTTTCACTCATGAGGAGAAAGAATCTTAGTGGGGAAAACCTAGCCTTAAAATACGCTACTTATCTATAAATGACATTTTAATACTTTAGTAGGGCTTGATTTATGCTACATGGTAACTACAAACAGTTTAAATTCTAACACATGAATTAAAATAGGGGAGAAAATCCTTAAGTACATTTTCAATCTTCATACTCTTGCCTCCTTATCATGCTAAGCTGGTTTTTAGCTGAGAATTGAGTGAAACTTGTCTAATAAAATAGCAGTTGAATTTCTTTAATCTTCTAAAATATACCCTGAGCATTACAGTAGCTTTCCAACTGTATAAAAAATAATAGAACTGCATTTATTTTCTCATGTTATTTGTTTTTATAATTTGTATCCCCCCAAATCATTGTTTCAGTGTGTATTCCAAAATAATATTCATATGTTAAATACCTGGTTTTCTGTTTTTCCCCCTTTTTCATCTTTTCACTAAAATGGATACTGATGTTTGTTCAAGGTATGGTTTTATTAAAACCCATCATCCTAACAGAGCATCTCTAGGGGTTGATTTATTTATTCAGCAAATACTGGTTAAGTGCCCATTACAGGATATATACCAGGTGCTGAAGGTACAGCAATAAATAAGACAGTCAGGGTCCCTACCTCCATAGAGCTTACATTCTAAAAGGCAAGATAGAAATAAGACATAATTACAAGGGTAATAATGCTAGCACTAGCGTAAGTAAAGAATGCTTGAGAGTGGAGTCCCATTTAACCTAAGGTCTGAAGGAACAAAAGAATTGAGACTCATTAAGTGGTGGGTGGTGAGTGGTGTAAGGTTGGTGGATGGAAAGAGATGAAGAGCCTTTGAAAATCTGGAGATGAATGAGAGCAGAGAGCATGAAAGAAGTCCCATGTGGCTGACAGATCAAAGGGGATAGTGTCAACAGACAGCTGAAATAGCAGGCAAAAAATAAGGGCCTTTCAAGTTTGCCAAGATTTTTTAATCTGGTGCGCTTTGAAATACACACACACATTTTTTTTTTGATAGTAGGGGAGTGACAGAATCAGATTTCTTTTTTCAAAGATCCTTTGCTATGAAATGGAGAATGTATTTGAAGAAGACCAGAGTGAAAACAGTCTGGGAAACCAAAAGGGTTACTGTAATATTTTTAGTCGAAGAAATAACGGTGGCTTGGACTAAAGTGGTAAAAGTTGAGATAGAGGAAAGAGGACATATTTGAGAGAGAGTTCAGAAGTGTACAATCAACAAGATTTTATAATAATTAGATGTGGGGGGTAAAAAGAACAATAAGGAAGAGGCTAAGATGCTCCTTAAGTTTCTGGCTTAAAACTGGATATGGATAGTGGTGTGACTTTCTGCATTAGGAAGAGCAAGACGGTGTACAGGATAAAGTTTTTGTTTGTCTTCTAATGGATATATTAGTTTTCTCTTGCTGTGTAACCAATTATGACAAACTTAGAAGCTTAGAACAACATCCATTAATTAGTTCACAGTTCCACAGGTCAGAAGTCCAGCAACTGTAACTGAGTTTTCCACTTAGGCTCCACAAGACCAAAATCAAGGTGTAGGCTGTAGGCTCTAATGGAGGCTCTGGGGAAGAAACTACTTCCAAGGTCATTTAGGTTATTGATAGAATGCAGTTCTCTGTGATTGAAGGACTGAGTTTCTTGTTTTTACTGGCTATAGGCCAGGGATCACTCTCAGCTCCTAGAAGCCATTTCCAAGTGCTCCCCTCAATCTTCAAACTAGCAGCGACTTGCAGAATCCACCACGTTCTTTGAGTTTCTGACCTGTCTTCTGCTACCAGCTGGAGAAACCTCTCTGCTTTTATAGGGCTTACGTGGTTAGATTAAGCTCATTCAGGTAATCTCCACTTTGCCATGTAACATAGTATAATCATAGGAGTAAAACCAGAGGGTGAATATTGTGGAGGAAGACATCTTAAAATCTGCCTAGCACAGGGAGGTAGACAATAAGTTTCACTTAGATTAAAGTTAAGGTTGAAGATCCAGACACACAGATTTGAAGTAGAAGCTGTATATATGTCTGGAAATACATATTAGAGTTATAAATCTATGGAAAGAATGAAATTGCCTACAGAGAGAGTATAGGGTGATAAGAGGCCTTAGGGAACTTCATAATTCAGTGACAGAATAGAGGAGAAGGCACTGGTAAAGGAAGCTGAAAAGTACCAGCCAGAGATGTAATGGAGGAGGAAACTCAAACATGTGATGTCACAAAAATCAAGAGAGTTTTGAGGAGTAAGAAATAATCAATAGTGTCTCATGGTCTTGTGATTTAGCGGGTGGAGGGAGGGGGGAATTATATGGTATACTCACTTCTGCCACGATATAACACTCGTATATTCTAGAGTGTACACGCATGTGTTCACCCACACCCGAAAGTTTTTATAACCACAGTATTTTGTAAGTCATTGCTTTATACTCAAGGGAAAAGAAGTTAAGGACACAAAATGAATGACAACATTATCCTTAAGAATTCTTTCCTAGGATACTCTTTTGGTAAACTGAGAGTTATAATCTCAGTAGAGCAGCGGTTCTCTCCAGAAATAATAATAGCTAATACACAGCACTGAATATGGGCTAATCACTGTTCTTGGTGCATTACCTATATTGACAAATTAATATCAGTTGTGTCTACTGCTTTCTCAAATGGGTGACAGATGAAGAAGCAAGGTAGTAAAGGTTTAAGCAATACACATTATCCAAAGTATATACCAGGTCAGTGACAGATAAATTTTAGAATAGTTCAACTTTTGATTGCTGCAGTGTGTTTTTTAAGAAATTGATATAATTTTTTTTTCAGTCACCATTATGATGAATTAGCTTTTAACATGGGCTAAGTCTCTTCTGTTCCAAGATAAATAGATGCCCTTCAGAAGTTAAGCAATGTGATCTAAAGCTTGTAATATAAAATTGATGTTCTTTTGTGTGATGTAATGAAACACTGCAACAAAATGTGCTCTGCAATTACGTGAATTTAGTAATGAGATTGACTTCTGACCTCTGTAGCAGACCATCTCTGTCAATTCATCAGTCTCTTAATTATGCAACTGAGTGTTTTACTAACTGAATGTTTTGGACTCCATTTATAGTATTTTGTTGGGTTTTCCTTTATTATTTCATTTAAGTTTAAAGTAACCTGTGTAGGCTATGCATTATAAAACTCCAGAGGGCACTGTTCACATAGACTTGCACAATTTGGCAACCCTGTAGCCATCTATTCAGAAGCTTTGATAAATCTAAAAATAACGGGAAAAAGCCACATTGACATTTAATGTGATAAATGGGTACATTAGCACAATTATTTTGCTACCTTTTTTCTGGAAACAAATGGAATGCTGAAGTGTCTTTTATTGTTTTTGCAGGCGAGGAATTGCCTTGGCCTCCTTGGGAGGCCCAATTTATGCAATTGGAGGGTTAGATGACAACACTTGCTTCAACGATGTTGAGAGATATGACATAGAATCTGATCAGTGGAGTACAGTGGCGCCAATGAATACTCCCCGTGGAGGAGTTGGCTCTGTGGCTCTTGTGGTAAGTTATGTGGCAGCTTGCTCACTGGATTGCATTGCGTCACATACCTAACCAAATAAGGAAAGGTCTGATGTATTCATAGTTCCAGTATGCAGATATTGATTACACACCAGATTATTATATGAAATACTGCTCTCTTGCACATTCTGGTCTACCATTAGGACAGCATGTAAATCAATTCAAAATCTAATGTCTTGTGTTTTTTTTTCTTTATTTATTTAGAACCATGTTTATGCAGTAGGTGGCAATGATGGAGTAGCTTCTCTATCTAGTGTGGAGAGGTATGATCCACATCTCGATAAATGGATAGAAGTTAAAGAAATGGGTCAGCGAAGAGCAGGCAATGGAGTTAGTGAGCTCCATGGTTGCTTATATGTTGTTGGTGAGTGGATATTTCTCTAGTTTAATTTTTTACAGGACATACAATGATAGTGTCAGTAACACAAATTTACATTGCATTTAGGCCCAAGTGGAATCAGTCCTAAGATTGGCTTTTGAATTCTTAAGATTCATATTCAAGCTTCTTTGTTTACATCTTCATCTTTCATGTTTAAAACTCTACCTCCGTATTTTTACTTTACTTTTCTTGTCTTCATTTCAAGGGAATTGTGTTGACTAAGCAAACCACTAGGTATTTCATATGCATGATGGCAGTTAGTGTCTCTGTATTGCTTTTTGACTTACTGTATAATAGAGTTGGAGGGGAATAGCCAAAGCAATCTTGAGAAAGAAAAACGGAGGAAAAACGGAGCTGGAGGAATCAGGCTCCTGGACTTCAAACTATATTACAAAGCTACAGTAATCAAGACAGTATGGTACTGGCACAAAAATAGAAATACAGATCAATGGAACAGAATAGAAAGCCCAGAGATAAACCTACACACATATGGTCACCTTATCTTTGATAAAGGAGGCAAGAATATACAGTGGAGAAAAGACAGCCTCTTCAATAAGTGGTGCTGGGAAAACTGGACAGCTACATGTAAAAGAATGAAATTAGAACACTCCCTAACACCATACACAAAAATAAATTCAAAATGGATTAAAGACCTAAATGTAAGGCCAGACACTATTAAACTCTTAGAGGGAAACATAGGCAGAACACTCCATGACATAAATCACAGCAAGATCCTTTTTGACCCACCTCCTAGAGAAATGGAAATAAAAGCAAAAATAAACAAATGAGACCTAATGAAACTTAAAAGCATTTGCACAGCAAAGGAAACCATAAACAAGACCAAAAGACAACCCTCAGAATGGGAGAAAATATTTGCAAATGAAGCAACTGACAAAGGATTAATCTCCAAAATTTATAAGCAGCTCATGCAGCTCAATCTCAAAAAAACAAACAACCCAATCCAAAAATGGGCAGAAGACCTGAATAGACATTTCTCCAAAGATATACAGACTGCCAACAAACACATGAAAGAATGCTCAACATCATTAATCATTAGAGAAATGCAAATCAAAACTACAATGAGATATCATCTCACACCAGTCAGAATGGCCATCATCAAAAAGTCTAGAAACAATAAATGATGGAGAGGGTGTGGAGAAAAGGAACACTCTTGCACTGCTGGTGGGAATGTGAATTGGTACAGCCGCTATGGAGAACAGTATGGAGGTTCCTTAAAGAACTACAAATACAAATACCATATGACCCAGCAATCCCACTACTGGGCATATACCCTGAGAAAACCATAATTCAAAAAGAGTCATGTACCAAAGTGTTCATTGCAGCTCTATTTACAATAGCCCGGAGATGGAAACAACCTAAGTTGATTTATCCATCATCGAATGAATGGATAAAGAAGATGTGGCTCATATGTACAGTGGAATATTACTCAGCCATAAAAAGAAACGAAAGTGAGGTATTTGTAATGAGGTGGATGGACCTAGAGTCTGCCATACAGAGTGAAGTAAGTCAGAAAGAGAAAGACAAATACCGTATGCTAACACATATATATGGAATCTAAGAAAAAAAAATGTCATGAAGAACCTAGGGGTTAGACAGCAATAAAGACACAGACCTAGTAGAAAATGGACTTGAGGATATGGGGAGGGGGAAGGGTAAGCTGTGACAAAGTGAGAGCGTGGCATGGACATATATACACTACCAAACGTAAAATAGATAGCTAATGGGAAGCAGCCGCATAGCACAGGGAGAGCAGTTCGGTGCTTTGTGACTGCCTGGAGGGGTGGGATAGGCAGGGTGGGAGGGAGGGAGACGCAAGAGGGAAGAGATATGGGAACATATGTTTATGTATAACTGATTCACTTTGTTATAAAGCAGAAACACACCATTGTAAAGCAATGATACTCCAATAAAGATGTAAAAACAATAATAATAAGCAAATAGAAAATTAATAGGAGTAGTCAAGTAAGGCTCAGGACTGTACAATCAAATTTTAGATTAGATCCATGGGCCAGAGAGAAACCTATGGTGAAATTCATTTTGGACATCCAGTGGGTTTCAAAACTTTCCAATATTTTATAGATTCTAATTTATCCAGGACCAATATCATTTTCTTGGACCAAGCAATACGTTTTAAGGATTAATGGAGCTTCAAATCCTGAGGCCCCACGTCAGTGATGTGAATGGAGTTTAACTCAGGGATTGATCATGGCCTGCAACGTTGGACAAAATGGGAAATGCTGTAAGCAGCTCATGATGCTTGTTCTCAGTGGAACAAACTTGGGAAGTGTTGTGTGATCATCAACCTAGTCCAAGTTTCTTAACTTACAAATTAGAAGCAAAATATAATCTCACAGAAATGAGCTAAGTATAGGAAAAGGCCTTCTACAGAACCAAATGCCAAGTGGCCAAATAAATCTGGCAAAATGGTTAACTTCAGTTGGCAGAGAAATGCAAATTGAGGTAGTATAAGACTTTTTCCAGGAATTCCCTGGCGGTCCAGTGGTTAGGACTCCACACTTTCACTGCCGAGGGCAAGGGTTCAATCCCTGGTCAGGGAACTAAGATCCCGCAAGCTGCAAGGTGTGGGCAAAAAAAAAAAAAGGACTTTTTCATTTTGCAAGCAAAGCTGGCAAGAGTGTTAAGCTCATCCACAGTTGGTATCAGAGCTTTTTTGGGAGAAGTGGTTTGGTGACAAAAAATTTTTTTTAATTGGCTTATTGTTTGACCCAGAAATCCCCCTCCCACTTGTAGGAATGCAAGACAATGTGTGTACCAAGAATCCTCAGTACAGCATTGTTTGCAACAGCAGAATAATTGGGCCAGGGGCAGCTTGCCTGCATAATGGGAGAATGTTTAAATAAATGGTGATACGTCTTTAGTTACACAATATTTTACAGCCAAAATGATTAACATAGAAGACATATAGGGACTTCCCTGGTGACGCAGTGGTTAAGAATCCGCCAACGCAGGGGACACCGGTTCGATCCCTGGTCCGGGAAGATCCCGCATGCCGCGGAGCAACTAAGCCCGTGCGCCACAGCTACTGAGCCTGCACTCTAGAGCCTGCGAGCCCCAACTACTGAGCCCAAGTGCTGTAAACCCACGCACCTAGAGCCCATGCTCTGCAACAAGAGAAGCCACCACAATGAGAAGCCCACACAACCCAACGAAGAGCAGCCCCAGCTCGCTGCAACTAGAGAAAGCCTGCACGCAGCAACGAAGACCCAACACAGCCAAAAATAAATTAATTTTTTAAAAAAAGAAATATGAAGTGGGGAGAAAGTCAGAATATAATACATCCAAATTTATGTTTAAAAATAATGTGTAAGTGAACAAAAGTTATGGAAAGATGCACCAAACTTAATGGTTGTTTACTCTGGGGAGGAAGGGATGAAGCAGACTTGCTCTTACACTTTTTGCTCTATACGCTTTTGTGTCATTTGATTTTTTAAAAACTAGACTATTTGTAAATCAGTTTGAAAAAAATATTTTAATTCCAAAATGATACTTACATAGATGTAGATGTAGGCTTGGGGACCTCTGTAAAACCACTTTACCAGATCACTTACTCCCTTGAGATGCTTGTAAAGTCCTTGGTTGCGATCTTGTATACCAAGTCCTACCTGCAGGAGGAGGAGTTTCTTCAAAGGCTGCAGAATAAAGATGGGAAAGCAAGGAGTTGAATAGTTAACTGAAGACATTTTCCTAAAGCCCATGCACTTGAGTTCAATTGGTTTTCCAATAATAGTGTGTATATATGTAGAAATGTATGTGTGTGTTGTTTAGATGATAATTTAGTAGGGAAGAGATGCAAACCCATAATTATTTCTGCCCTCCTACATGTGAAATAAGGTAAATGAGATGTTAGGACTGGGCCCCAGTAATAGAGAAGGGTGATGTAAAGCACTTATCCAGAGCAGGCACATGGTCTTTCTTTTCAAGCTAAAATAGAATTGTCTGTTTAGAAAGTATTTCAAGGCCCGCCCTCCAGTCTGCTGGAAGGGCACAGGTCTTTATTACCAGAGCCTTGCTGTCTCACTACAGTCTTGGCTTTCAGCTGAATGTGGTCTGTGGAGAAACCACAAACCCTGAAAGAATCCTGCTCTAAGACAAAACAGGCTAGACGGGTACAGTTATCTAATCACAACCAAGTAACAGCAGATAAACCTCCGATTATATTCTGGTAAAGACCCATTGGACTTCAAAGCTGTTTGGAATGGATTGAAGGGGTTTGAACACCTCCTAGGTGTCCTAATTTAAAGCGGCCTGGATTGTGACAATTTATATTCCCAAGAACCCTGGCAAATAGTAAACAAGTATCCCTTTAAATAATTCAGGCGTCAAAAGTGCCTAAATACTTAGAAGACAGACGCACAGAGAAAGGTTTGTATCTTACCTTAGAGGTGCTGCGGTAATCCAGCAGTAGTAAAATTGTCTCCCAGTGTCTGGGAGACAGTTCTTACATACCTTAAGATACCAGAAGCAGAAACTGCAAAGACATTGGTAGAAGTCAGCCTACTTAAAAAACTAAACAAACTTCCTTAAAATGTGTCATAATAAAACCTGAAAAGCAAAAGATAATTTGGAAAATTTACAACATAATCAGAGGTTAATATCCTGAATATATAAATAAAAAGGGAAAGATGAATAGCCTGGAGGGATAATTTGTTATTTTTTCTTTTACTGCTCAGCATCCTTTTCCTTCATTAACAGAACTCTTCCTAGTGGAGAACTCATTCCATATGATTTAAGTGAAAACTTTCCCCACATCTACCCAGTTAGGCTCTTGAATTGGGTCTAGAGTATTGGTCCTGTAACCTATGCACTACAAATGGCAACTTCATATGTAACAAAAAACAGTACCATAAGAATGAAAATGTAAATGAAAACATCAGAAGACAGTCTCCCACCTGTCAAATCGGGTGATTTTTTTTCCTTTTTGTGTTTTCCAAACATAATACCCATGATTGGTAAAGGACCGGATTATTAATGCATGCTAAAATCACTAAGTGAAACGTGGTTGCCACAGGGCAAAGCCCATATTTGTAAGAGTTTTGGTGATCATATCCTCACCAAAGACTCAAAGTTAGCATCCCTAACAGGATGATTTTAGGTGTCTCCTGATGTGATGCAACATGAAATAATACACAGCACCACCTGTGAAAGTTTCTTGCCAAATACAATCAAGCTTCTACACCTAACCCAGGGACTTCCCTGGCGGTCCAGTGGTTAAGACTTAGCCTTCCAATGCAGGGGGTGCAGGTTCGATCCCTGGTTGGGGAGCTAAGATCCCACATGCCTCGCAGCCAAAAACACAAAACATACAACAGAAGCAATATTGTAACAAATTCAATAAAGACTTTAAAAATGGTCCACATCAAAAAAAATCTTTAAAATAAACCTAACCCAGTTTATAGGAAATCTATATAGGAGACACAGATATGAATTCACGGACTCTTAGGGAAAAACAGGGCCAACATGTAGGACGTTGTATTACAAAGGTGTGGGGGTTTTTTTGTTCTGGATTAACAGAGAGACATGACAACCAAATGTAATGCCTGAAACTTGACTGAGTCCTGGCTCAAAAAAAAAAAAAAAAAAAAGCTGTAAGACCTCTGGGGGACAATCACAGAAATTCGAATATGAACCGAATATCAGATGTTGAGAAATTTTCTTAGCTGATATAATGGTATTGTGATCCTGCCGGATAATGTCCTAGGATATGCTTGCTTAAGTCTTTAGGGGTGAAGCATAAATATACACATGCACACATTTACATAAAGAAAATACGGTGAAATACTGTTGAATCTGCCCAACTAGTTTGCTTCAGGGATGGCCATGGGAGCATTCTTTATACTATCCCCAAATTAGAGATAGTCTCAATGTTTAACAAGGGGGTTGGTTAAATAAACTGGTACAACCATGCAGTGGACAACTACTACTGAAAATGTATGAGACAAGGTATGACGAAAGTTTTTGTGAAAAAAATGAAAACCCAGGTTTTATGACCCATGTTTTAAGGCCTAGTTCAAGTGAGAGCTCTTCCCTCAGTCTTCCCTTTAGTCTTAAGCGGGACTAAAACTTTCCCTTTCCCGCACCTGCCATTGCATGCTCACCACTTATTGCTGGCTTGTCAACTCTGTGAGCTTGCCAAGGGTGGGTCCCTGTTTGTTCATTAGGACCGATATAAGTAGAGGTCAGCGTAATGTAAGGAAGAACAAAAAGAATCAAAGAGGAAGAGGTGGGTAGCAAGATCTTTATCAGTATTCAAAGACTGGAGGGTCACCTGTTGGGATATTGTGGTGCAGTGAGGGGAGGGAGGAAGTCTAAAAAGGCCACCAGTCTTGAGTGTTTATGGCAGAGGCACCATGCTAAGCACACTCTGTACACCATCTAATGTGATCCTCAGCACCTTACCAGGTAGACACCAAAGCTGTAACTGTTTATAAGAAACCCAGAGAGGTTAAGTAACTTGCCCATGGTCACATAGCAAACCAGAGAGCCAGGATTCAAATTTAGGAAGTCATCTTTCAGCACCTAGAGTATCATTTCTTTTGGAATGGCAAAGGGAAGAGAAACCAGATGGACTTTAGATTTCTTCCCATACCAACATTCTACAAATATGTCTCCCCATACCCAGCAAACAAATTGAAAAGAGGCAAAGTTGGTCACTGTTGCACCTGGCAGTTGATGTTAAGATAAGCAACACTGGTGGTATTAGGCTAATTTGTGATTGAGATCTTTTCTTTTTTTAATTATTTATTTATGGCTGCATTGGGTCTTCGTTGCTACGTGCCAGCTTTCTCTGGTTGCAGAGAGCGGGGGCTACTCTCCGTTGCAGTGCATGGGCTTCTCATTGCGGTGGCTTCTCTCATTGCGGAGCACAGGCTCTAGGCACATGGGCTTCAATAGTTGTGGCTCGCGGGCTAGAGCACAGGCTCAGCAGTTGTGCCGCACCGGCTTAGTTGCTCGGTGGCATGTGAGATCTCCCCGGACCAGGGCTCGAACCCATGTCCCCTGCATTGGCAGGCGGATTCTTAACCACTGCACCACCAGTGCAGTGATTGAGCTCTTGAAAATAAACTGAACAGAAAGATGAGCTACCCTCTGCCTGCCCCTTTCCCATTTCAACAATAAATACATACTGTGAATAAGGGCAAATTATTCCATGTGAGACTCTCCTTGGCTCTAAGTGGTAATTACATATAGCAATTTTAGGAATTACTTTATTCAAGCAAAGTGAAAGCATGGATTCCACGCCAATGATTTCTCTAAATTTTTATTAATTTTTTTTTTTTTTTACAGCTCCATCCTCTTGTGAAAAGTAAAGAATTTGAAGACGAACAAGTCAATTACATGGTTTTTTAAACAGCAATTAATCCTTATTACAGAGAACAATAAACAAAAGATCTGTGGCACGGTATCTTTGGAAAGATCTTTTGCAAATTTTTCTTCTAAAAAAAGAAAACTATAATTCTCACAGATCACGTATGTCTCTTTCAAAGGACTGTACAAGGCAGCTAAATTTTATTCACAAAAGCCCCTAGTTTCAGTTCCATTGCTGAAGTAGATAAAACACACGGAGTCCCCCTTGTCTGTGTTGCACATCTTTCCACTGAGCACATCACTGCTTCCCTATCCTACATACAAAACCATTGTGTGGACTAGATAGCTGGCACATTATTACACAATAATTAAAGAAAAATTCATATTATTTTAGAGACAGACCAGTGATCTTCATTTATCAACTGGACGATTTATTCTTTTTTAAACAATTTTAATAATACCAAGATTTGACTTTCCTCTAAAGTTATAAGAAAGCAAAAAATATATAATATAATATAATATATAATGGTAATAAATAAAAAAAAGGCAACCCTGCTCAGGTATCATCCAAAATATGATCACATTCAGGAGAAGAAAAAAAAAAACCAACACAAGATTTGGGACACACGTGTATAAACACACACACCAACATGAACAGTGTATACTTGGTATCTGAGGAGGGGATGTGCAGTAATTTTAACAATACATGTTGATGGCCTGAACAAAAGGTGAGTACTGCCTTTTGTTCTTAAACAAAAGTTAATTAACAAAAGTTAATACTACCTGTATTCAGCATCACTTAAACATCTACTTGTAAGCAAAGCAAGTTATCTTCCTTAGGTCAGCCACTGCCTGGTCTGACCAGTGCAGCTCGGCCAGCCTCGCTGTCAGTGGTCTTATTTCTTTGTCCTTCCAGGTCGATATAGTAATATCTAGGCTCCCAGGGAGCTGTAAGTTTCCTTCCTGCCGTCTTGGGTAGAGAAATACAGGCACTTCTCTACCCAGCACAGTACCTGTTGATATCCAACACACCGCGAACAGAAAGAATAGAGTGGCTTTCCCCGGGACAACAGGAAATTTACAGCTACCTTAAGAGAGGTGGCAGATGGGTGCTTGTCAACACCTCATAAATACGAACTAAAGAGCATGGCCAGTGGTCACAATTCGTTCTCGGATTTTCGGTGACTGACACAACTGGATTGGATATTTGAGGCGTGTATGGTGGAAATACCACTTGCAATGTTTGAAGGAAAATCCCCAACACCATGTTTGTTATTCTGCCACTCCACCTCCCACAAACAAAATGACAAAAGTATAGGAAAAAAACCTGCATCCACAAATTCGAAGTAGGACCAAAAACAAAAGAGGCAACCACTAGAGCAAGAGAGAAAGGGACCAAGTACCGCTATAATCCTGACACCCCTCCACAACCACAATGAGGAAATCTCTACATCTGTGTTTCTAAAAGAAGGCCAAATATTCTAGCAAGATTTAAATACTGCTAATCAGTGGTAAAGAGTGTAAGAGATGAGGTGGCGAAGTTTTTCACAGATTTTGTGTAGTGTCTGGGCAAACAAATCCTTAAGAGAAAGTAGAATCTGTGTGGGAGGTAGGGAATCAAGCCTTATTTGATTCATTTACCTAAAGATGCACAAATACACCTCAAACTTCATGAAGCAGAAGAGAAAAAGGTGCAAGACCCACCTAACATCTCTTATAGCCATGGCAAAATGAATACAGCATTATTCCAAAATTAGGTGTGGTCAACAAAGGCACAATAAATATATCCAATTTAGCCAGCCTCGTAGTCTGTGTGTGTGTGTGTATATGTACACACACATTTCCTTTCATATATCAGAGATAAGAGTTTTATTCATTTTGGAGGGCACAATGGTTTCTTTTTGCTTCTAAAAATTACTGAACAGGAATCATAAAAAAAAAAAATAGTTAAGCTCCTGATCCTACTAACGTTAATATTTAAGGTACCAATTAAGGCAAGTTTTCAGCCAGAAAGGGGTAGTTTGTTAGCTTCTAAACATCCTGAGATCGGGAATTAAAGGATATAGGACAAGGGAGATAAGTGTGGTCCAATTTGTCTAGGGGAAATAGCTAAACATTTTGGTCAAAACAGATTATAAAATAAAGGTCCTTTTGTTCAAAAAAAAAAAAAATCAACAGGCTTTTCCCATTCAGTATTGTGATTAAATCATAGCACCAGCTAAGTCATTCTCCTGTTGTAGTTCTGGTCCTGATAATATGCCAGCTGGACCCTCCCACAGCTGGCATATGAAGGACGTTTTCACATTCTTAACCCAGTGTAATTTGGTAAATTTCAGTGAAGTGTTTTATCATTGTTTATCAGGGCCCTTAGTCTAGCTAAAATCTTAAATTCGGTGATTCACATTTTAATTACCTCCAGGAAGGACAGAAACATTCAACGTTTTTTAAAGTAAAACAGTGTTCTTCCATTTCCTAGTAAAGATAGACACACACACACACACACACACACACACACGAAACTGTAGTGCCAAAGGCAAGGTTTTTACACTCCATTTTTACTCAAGATGTTTTGTATTTGTCTCACTGTGAAGTGTGTACTATTACGGTTGTTATAAGAACTTCACATATTCAAAGACTTGATTTTATAATCTAGTCCTTTCAATTATCTACCTCAGTACAAATTTTGCCTCTGGGAATTTAAGCATGCAGTGGAAAAGTGCAAATGATTTAAAAATGCTTTAGATTTCTATATACAACTGCAACGGCGAAAAGACCTTATGAACCTTAAGGATTCATCAGCCACTACCCTTTTACATACTCTACTTTAAAAGTAGCCATTAGGAATTCTTTTAGGTAAAATGCATTTTGCAGTAAGAATCAGAAATATTCCATGATCAAAACAGTACAAACTGATCTCTGCAAACTCGTTAGTTTTTTAAGGGAAAAATAAAATCTTAATATAAAGGTCAGGGAAACAAACACACACACAAAGAATAAGGCCACTGAAAAAGCAATTACCTCTTTTAGAAATGGCTGAGAAATTGCCTTGGAAATGTCTTCAGTCAAGGGGACACTGTGGCTCCTGACAAGACACACACGCTCAGCACGGTCTGCATAGATCAGAACCTGTCCTCAAGAACACACTCTTCCAAACTGACAGGTGGCTTGTACTGGGGAGTGATGGGGTGAAGGGAGCAGGAATGGCCAAGGGAGTAAGGGGGAAAAAAGATGTTAAGTAACCACATAAGCCTGCTTCTGGTGTCCTGTCTCCTACGTATAAGAGATGGACACACAATGCCACAAGCAGACAACCTACCAGGCAATTCCTGTTCATTTAACAACAGGCTGCTTTTTAAATGAGTAGTCTAAAAAGGACCATGGCTCTCCTTTAGAACATCAGTAAATGAAATCAGTCCATCAAGATCGCACATCAAGTTCTTATGCTCAGATATTACTACTGTTGTAATTCTCTCGCTTTAACCTAAACATGAAGTAACAGACCTCTGTCCTAGCTAGTGATAACCAAAGAACAGGCTGGATACTGTAAGACACTGAAGGAACAGCTTCACACAAACAATTTATATTGTGAAAAATAAGCATCACTCCCATCCGCTACACATCCCTTTTATATAGTTACCAAGAAAGTTCTTACATTCATCATATGGACCTTAGACCTCTTCATTATAAATAAAGATGGTACTCCCTTCTTCACTAATGAACAGGACAATGTCAAACATGCTTGGTAGGAAACAGCTCGTAGGGGGCGGAAATGGGATGAAGGCAGAAAAATAAACCAGTTGTAGCGTTAACACTCACTCCTCAACTGTAACAGATGTACAAATTCTACTTCTAAAAGGGATAAAAAGAATTGGCTTCTAAAAACTCTGCACTCAAAATAATGCTTCCAATAATAACCCTCAAAGTTTCAATGAAAAAAATCTGTGCTTATGGATATGTGGGAATTCTGTTTGGGTTTTTTTCCCCCACTTTAGGTCATTCAAAATAAACTTGGTTTAATGTATAGAATCTGGCAATAACAACTTATGGGAAGGCCACAGTTCCTCTTCAATCTAATCACATCTAGTTGATTGAGAACACTCTGGACTGAAGGCATGTGGTGACTTTTTTTTTTTTTTGAAAGTCTAATAAACCACCCCAAATCTCCACAGCCTCTCAGGGAGTTAATTTCCCCTAGACAATCAAGGGCTCTCCAAGTCTAGTTTTGCTATAAATATAAAGTAATTCGTAGCAGAAAAATATAGCCTCTCTAAGAAGTAGATTTCACTTTTCTTTGTTCGCTGACAAAACTCTGAGTTGGTAGACAACGTGAGTTACCACATAACTGGAGACCACAGATCAGCACCTCAAATTCCAGCTCTACTTAAACAAAAATTAAAAGCACTTCAACCATCTGGTCACAGATAAATGTTGGTTTCCTTCTTCCCCAAAGTAGAAAATGCAGAGTGCAGTCAATGTGACTGCCTTTCTCTGGAGCAGGGGGTGGGAACGGCAGCGCCCGGTCCTCCGTGGTACATGGAGATGGGGATGCAGATGGGGGTGGAGGCGGCTTCCCTGTGCACTGTAGCTCCTCTCTCCCCCAGCCCGACGGGGCCGCCTTCCAGCACAGTAACGGAGAAATCAGAGCTGGGTTGAACGTGCAGTATCCAGGCAATGGGGGGTCGGGGGGTGGGTTGCCTTCAATTTTATAAATTAGGACAATACCTGGTATTATCAAAGCCACTGTTCAATGGCAGAAAGTGGGGTACAGTGGAGTCCTTCACAACTTATGTTTTATAGATGACCATTAGAATTTATTAAACAAATATTTCCCCCAAAACTTAAAAGAAAAAAAAAAAATCACCCACAAAACCCTACACCACAATTCACTGTTTTTTTAAAAAAAAATTCCTTCTAGGAATGAACTAATGTGGCTACTGAGATGATGTGAATTTGCTTCCAGAGTTGAAATTGCTCCTCCTCATTTCATTTGCATCCTGCTGGTTAAAAAAAGACGGAAATGTTTCTAGACCATTCATACGCCCCCTCAGGCTACATTGCACTTCTGTCCTTTAGGAAGGAAAGGCAAGATCATCTCTGAGGCCAGCCTCCTCATTTCTGCTTCTACAAAACCATCCTGTCCAACCAATGATTCCATAGTTCTTGAGTTTCAGTGAACAAATATCCTGGCCATCTCATGGTGCTTCTCTTCTCGAGTTTGGTATCCTGATGAGACAAATGTCTGGACTGTTTTGAGGCTTCCAACGTGCAAAAAAGTTCCCAAGGCATCAGATCAACCTGGGCCTCCATTAAGGTGTTTTGGTTACTTGTTTCAGCCGCTGAAAGCCTTGTCTTGTGTAGCGCACCAGGTCCATCAGACTGCTGTCAAGGGCCAGGGTGCACACACCTGTGCTGAGCTGAGCAAAGAATTCTGCAAACAAAGCAAGCCCAACATGTAAACACACGTGCACACACAAAATAAACGTGAAAACATAAAAAGGCAAGGCTCCAGAAACTACATTCCCACAGTATTCTGTACGTCATCTAGCAGAGCAAAAAAAGAAAAAAAACCTCACCATCTACTGTAATGGTTTGCTAGCTCTCCACATCCCTCCACTAGTCTAAAAAGGGAGGAACTAAATTTGTTTCAGAGTTGACTCCCTAATGCCTGGCACAGTGGCTGACAGTGGAAAATACTCAATTTATACTTTTGGATCAATGGACACATGAATGAAAATAAACAAATAAAAATATTCAACATGTTTTAAAAAAAAAAAGAGCATCATTAGTTTGCTAAGAAAGAAAACAAGGTTTGAAGAGGCTGTGAGGAAAGTAAGTGGCCACAGCCAGCTGGCCGACTTCTTCCCTATAGCCAGGAAAGAGCACGTCAAGGCTTTAATCTGGTATTTACATATAAGCATTTGCTCAGTGGTCACTAGCACTGACACCAAGCAGTTTCTCTAACAGGTGCTTGACCATCTCCTAAACCTTGGATTTCTCCAAGGGCATTCTTCACAAACAAGACCCAAGAATATTTACTAAGCCATATTTCCTATACTGTTGCTAACCATCTTTCTTAACATATACTGAAAACAAGCAATAAACGCAGTATTTTTTTAAGGATTATAAAAGTTATATTTATTCACGATGCTACATTTATTGCATTCCCTTAGAAAAATAGAGGCTATTTATGTACCCAATTTGCCCATATAAAACTTTATACAAATTATGTGTAGCACATAAAGGCCTCTGGTACAGCTAAAATCCTGACACTACAATTTGGGTAATCCTGCTTCAGGGTCTCCAGTTTATCAAGTCTGTCAACAGAAAATAAAAACTGAAACTACAGTCAGTCTTGCTGCTCACACTTAGAAATTATTTTAAATATAATAAAATAAAATTTTCAATTACTCTAAAACCCAAAAAAGTAAACTGGAAGGGGATACATTTTGTTACCAATTTCAATTTAACAGTATGACAAATTCACACCTTATTTTGGCTGGGTCTTTTTTTAAAAAAAAAAAAAAATCACCTTAGTTTTGACATTATCTTTCTAAGCTGTGGCTGCTTCAGAAGGTAATTTGTCAAAAATATTTACCAAACAATTTTAATAATATTCCTTTTACAAAATGGTACAATAACACCTTAAGAAACCAGAAAATACTAAATGTCTTTGGCTATGTAACTAAAAGGCCATTCTTCCAAACAGAATAGGGCATATTCACCTCAGAACCAACTACAGAAACAGAAAGCATAACAAAAATATGCACAGAATTTAATGAGAATTTGTCTTCCTTTTTTTCTCATTCTACCCATATAATAAGCAAGGAGAATGCAATTTACATAATCTTCCCAGATGAGACTCAACAGCACTTCAAAGATACCCAAACTTCTGCAAAGGCAAAGTGAATTAAAACAATTACACAACTAAGGGAAGACTAAAGGGACAAACGTTATTTGCAATTTTCTTTTAACTTGTTGGCTTCCTTTTAAGCCTTACAAGTGTAGAAATTATAGCTGATAAAAGTCACAAGCCTCACAAATGGAACTATAATATAAAAATAAATCAAATGAAACATTTATTAATAAATGAAGCCTATTTTATTACTTCAAGTGTTAATGATAAAAAAATTTCCGCACAGCTGTTGCATTTAAAAAAGTGAAACTACATACTATATTTCTAGCTTGGTAAACAGATGAACCTGATGTCTTTGAATGACATAACAATTGAGCATTGTACAGTACATCTTTCTGAAGACCCGTAAATTAGAGAACTACTGGCTTAAAGTTAGTGATTATGAAACAAATAAGTATTCGTAGTTTCAGCTGCTTTTTTCTTCCTCAGCCATCAGGTGCTCCATCCATTTTACATGTCTGGGTTGAAGAATAAATGCAGTATTTTAGGTTATGCTACTTCCCATCTCAAATGTGTTGTGCCTGGGGACAGCCAATGACTCTCCATCTGCATTTGCTTAGCCCTTTTGCTAGCACTTCAGTTCAGGGTGAAATAACGATACCAAAACTTCCAAAGGGGCAACGTGCTAAAGCCACTTCTGATTTAATTTTGCTAAGATCTAGTCACAGAAATCTATCTCCATGCCACAGAGCTCGAGAAAGAATTGTGACAGCATGGAGAAAACGTGAGAAGAGTACACAGCTGCACACTTCCTTTTCTTCAAAACACTGAACAGATGGTGGGAATGTGAGTTGGTGCAGCCACTATGGAAAACAGTATGGAGGTTCCTCAGAAAGCTAAAAATAGAACTACCATATGATCCAGCAATCCCACTCCTGGGCACATATCCGGACAAAACTTTAACTCAAAAAGATACATGCACCCCTATGTTCACAGCAGCGCTATTCACAACAGCCACGACATGGAAACAAGCTAAATGTCCATTGACAGGTGAATGGATAAAGATGTGGAACATATATACAATGGAATACTATTCAGCCACGAAAAAGAATGAAATAATGCCATTTGCAGCAACATGGATGGACTTAGAAATTATCATACTAAGTGAAGTAAGGTCAGACAGAGAAAGACAAACACTATATGATATCACTTATATGTGGAAACTAAAATGTGGTACAAATGGACCTATCTACAAACCAAAACAGACTTGTGGCTGCCAAGGGGTAGGGGAGGCGGGAGAGGGATGGACTGGGAGTTTGGGGTTAGTTGATGCAAACTATTACATATAGAATGGATACACAACAGGGTCCTACTGTACAGCACAGGGAACTATATTCAATATCCTGTGATAAACCATAACGGAAAAGAATATGAGAAAGAATGTATTTATGTGTGTAACTGAATCACTTTGCTGTACAGCAGAAATTAACACAACATTGTAAATCAACTATAATTTTAAAAAAGAAAAAAAAAAGGCCAAAACACTGAACAGAAAATACAATGTTATTCCCCTCCCAATCCCCATGGCCCAGTAATAACCACGACAGAGCCATTTACCTTTATTCTTCCTGGTAAGGACCTCAGCCTGTTCCCAAAGATCAAAGGCGGTAAGGACATGGGAAGTAATGGTGACATAGGAAGATGTCATGCTTTGGATGGTGACTGGAGTGCTGATGGTGGCGGGCATCCCCCCGCTCCCCACACTGCCAGCACTTGACTGGGATCCTATGGAGCTGGCTGGAGAAGGCATTGGAGAGAGGGGGGATGGTGTGCCTGTGCTTCTGGAAGGTGGAAGAAAAGAGAACTGGTTAGTCACCTGAACTCCCAGATCACAGATCTCCTGTTTCTGGAACTGCAGTCCAAGTCACAAGGCTTTAGCGTGTACTTGCCAAAATGACAATCACTTCTAAAATCACTTCTACAAGGTCAGAGAGGCACCGCACCCTTCACCTTCAGTATTCCGGAAATTTATTTCATAAAACACAGTGGGATGGGGCCCTCCAAATGGAAAAAGTAACTGGAGAGACGTAAGGTGTACTTCAATGGACATAGAATCAGGTGGGCAAATCTGTATTCCAAGTGTATTTCCCAGGCCCTTTACATATTTTACTCCCTTGCCTGGAATCCCTTCTCTCCCCAACCCCTATTCCAACTTCTCCTAGGAAGACAATACTTCCCCTGAGAAATAGTCCTCATCTCCGATATATTCATTCTCTCATCCACTCAATACACATCACTGAGCTCCTACTCTGCACGTAGCTCTCCTCCAGACACTGGGGATACAGCACAGCTTCCTTTCTGTCACCACTTGAACTCGTCTCTTTGCATTTATCACACCTCATTATACTTTTCTGTCTATTCCTTTTCCTGCCTCACAAGCACCTCGCAGGCAGGGACCATCTCTTCCTAACCTCTGCATTTCTAGCCCTTAGCACAGGAGGTGCTCTGGATAAACACCTGCTGAGCCCATAACTGACTGAACAGAGGGCAGCCCATGAGGAGACTGGGCATCAGGGGACTCACACTGTGCTCTGTGTTCTCCTACTGACTGTCTACCTACACCTGCAAGTTCACAAGTGCCTTGATACGGATCAAACGAGAAACACAAGTGAAGTCACTCAGTCGTTAAAGAAGTGATGGATATGACATGGAAAGATGGGTCAGCAGCAGTGGCCTCATCACATAGTTACATCTGCCCTTGGGCTTCATGAACTCCAATGGATCCTAAGCATCCCCAGCAGAAAGTTCATTTTGAAGAACTAGAGCAGAAGCTCCCCGAGGGCAGCAATTCCTGTCTGCCTTGTTTACTGCTACTTCCCTGCGCCTAAAGCAAGGTTTGGTACAAGGAAGGTGCTAGACAAATGGTGAAGGAGTGATCTAAAATCATGTGACTGACAACCTATTAACTTAGAATAATATCTCAGAGGTAGGAGTCATGAAAATTTTCAGAGGTAAAGAAGTTGCTTCTCAATCAGGACTTTCTTTTTTTAAGAGAGGCCATATGGGAATCTCTTCTTTTGAATGTGCTGGAAATGGGGCAATCTTCTAGGTGATGTTCTTAAAATAGCAAAACCCGTCAGAACTGGGAGCTTTTCAAGGAATACGACTAAATTAAAAAAAAAAAAAATACTAGGCAAGTACCAAAGGGAAGAAAATTCTATCTTCATCTTAAAAACACCCGCACAAGGACTCTGTTTTTCGACAGCTTATGGAACAAATGAGCAAAAAGTGGGGGAGAAAATTTAGCTAGAGATAGCTGTTTTGATTCTTAATATCCCTGTTACAGACCCTGGAGAAGGGAACTGGTTCCAGAAAGTTCTTGTTTACTGAAATGCTAAGACAGCGTGCTGCATAGAAGGAGAAAGGACCTTGGCTCTGGTTCCGCTGGCTCCGCCTGTTTTACATTGTTGGGCATATCCAAATATCCTCAAAGCTCTAAACTCTGGACCCTAGATTCTCTGTAGTTATCTTTTTAATTTATGTTGCCCAACCAGCAAACACCCTGATTTTTAACTATTCCTCAAAAAGGTAGAAATGTGCTAATGATTTCAGTTGAATGAGCAAATCAGCACATAGATGTAAACAATTTTTGAAACAAAGTCACAGCAAGGGGTAAAGAAAGAAAGAACTTAATTTTGGAAGCTATTTAAATTAGACTGATCATTACCTTGCAATGCATGGAGAAGGTGCCTGGGCAACTTTGGAAGAAGTCTTGAAGAAGTGTTCATTAAGAGTACGGGAATACTTTATTGCTATATCTTTTTTACAACGAAACATAGCCATGTTCAAAATGGACTGGCAACGCATGCTGTGAACATAAACATAAGTTGAAGTGAAGCATTAGCTCCGATTCATGAGTATCACACTACTACAGAGAGCAAGCCACCTAACCTTTTCCCTAATGTTCACCCTAATGAACATGCTGGGTTTTCCTCAGCGGCGCGAGAAAGTGTATCGAGAATCTCACTGCACTGTTCACACTAACGTCAGAAGTAAATACTGGTGAAACAACACAAATATACAAGGATATAATTTAAGTCACAAGACCAAAGTCATCAGTAAAATGATGGGGTTGTAAAATGGCAGTAGATGCCATTTCATAATAATTAACCATCAGTGGGATTAACCCCTTGACCACACATCCTACCACTTTCTGGTAGTGATTCGCTTTTCATGATCATTTTCACTTTAAGCAAACAGATATGCAAAAGCAGGTGTACTTTGCTATTTAGACAAAGAAAAAAATACACACCATAAAACAGCAAATATTTTCTCCTGTGTTGGTGTTGTGGCATCCGAGAAGGATTTTAATGACATTATGAATCTATAGGAAAATACAAATGTACATCAGGTTAAAAAAAGGCAGTCAGAAAATCCCAGGCACAAAGATATCTTATTATGTTTGTCTTGGTTTTATATTGATTTTTCCTGAAGATGTGAAGACATGACAGCAACGCAGAAGAAAAATGAGGATTTGGAGCAACAATTCAGGCCATTCAGAAAATTAGGCGAGGACATGCCTTTTCTCTGACCTGTCCACCTGCTTGAACCCAAGTAGACTTGTATCCTTACTGAGTCCCCTCCTGAAATGCAGGTAATAAACAAAGACAAGAGCTTCAGCTGAGATGAGAGGGCATCTGATAAGAAAGTAAAACTGGAAAAACCAACCCTCTCCCTGAAGGGTTTGGCATTTCACTGTGCACTTGGCAAAATGATGCAGACCAACCCAGTTGTTCTGCTCTAGCACTTCATCTGGAATACATTTTTAGTTCATGACAAAAAATAAAAAAAGTTTCTGGATCAGTAACTTTTTTAAAGACTCCCCTTTGTTAAGCTGTCTTCAGACCAAAGTTCAAGTGGATTAAAGCAATAAAGGTAAGGACAGAGAAGTACTTAAAAGGAAGGCAAAATGAGTCTGCACTTACTTGATGAGGTCTAGGGTTTCTGCATAGATGGAGCAAGCTGACTTGGACGCTGGGCTTTCCAATTCCATGGCAATGCCACACTCAATAAAGGACAAGGCAGCTTCCAGGTACTTAAAAGCCTTCCCAACCTTGTCCGTCTGTGGGCGAAGAACAGGGTCACTGTTAAGCCTAACACGGACTTTTACTTAGTTTCTCACATACATTCTTTACAGAAACTTCCCTCCACTGTCCTAATTTAACTATGGCTAGAGAGAAGTGTGAGAACAAACAAACTCAATATAATAACCAAAGCCCGTCAGCTCTGACCTACTGAGAATTTTCTTTTACTAAAAATTCAGTAGGAAAGAAACAACAATCTTGTAATAAGACTATACTCTCAAAACCTTATTAAAGTACATATTCAAACTAAGGCACTCAGTACATGGTCCCCTTGTTACTAGTGTGCAATTACCCATCATATGATTTTCCTGGCAAAAAGGTTATTCTACACAACTAGAATAATGCAGGCACAGTTTCTTTGTACGATTTGAAGTTTATCTTATAATAAGTAAAAAATGTTATGGTTTACAAGCATCTTAGACTTCATGTCAAACAATAATCTTTTTATGTATTTTAGAGCCCAACAGGTCATCTCCTCTGGGAGCCTGGGTTAAGGGCACAAGGCTATCCCCTGGGCCAACAGGGATAAAATTTCAGAGTCCCTTAACAGGAATGTAGAAATATGAATGCAATCAGATATTGGTGGTCATCTAACCCCGAATACATATTTTGTCACTTACGCTCTTCTCACTTGGTGGAATTCAGCCAACTTGACTGAGACTGTGCCGAGTCTCACTACATATGAGACGTCATATGCAGCACACATTGTAAGAGCAACTGATCAACACGACATTTGCAAGGTTGTAGTTTCTGCTAATGTCTCTACTTTGATATGTTCAAAAAGAATGAATGAAAACCATAAAGGTGCAAGTGGAGTGTAAGGAGATGGTGACACATCAGCAAAGAAAGAAGGTTTGGCAAAGAAAGATGGCTACTAATTTTAATTTTTAAAAATAACTTGAGGGACTTCCCTGGCAGTCCAGTGGTTAAGACTCCGTGCTCCCAATGCAGGGGGCATGGGTTTGATCCCTGGTCGGGGAACTAAGATCCCATACACCATGCGACATGGCCAAAACAAAAAAAACTTGCTTTAAAAATATTTTTTCTAGGGGCTTCCCTGGTGGCGCAGTGGTTGAGAGTCCGCCTGCCGATGCGGGGGACACGGGTTCGTGCCTCGGTCTGGGAAGATCCCACATGCCACGAAGCGGCTGGGCCCATGGGCCATGGCCGCTGAGCCTGTGTGTCTGGAGTCTGTGCTCCGCAACGGGAGAGGACCACGTACCGCAAAACAAAAAAAAAAAAAATTTTCTAGAGAACCCAGGGTCAGAAAATTAGTGACAGAAAGAATAAAAATCAATCAGCATGTCCCAAATAATCAACAGTATAGGGCCTTATTGGTTTGCTTCACTGGTGCGAATTTAACTCTTCAAGTTTACTTATTCAATACCATCTTCTTCATGGGATTTCCAAAATTTATATTGGCCTTAGGGTAGAAACAAAAGAAACTATACTAAAGCAATTTGCCAGTATCCACTTCCTTAAGTATTTTGTAAAGTTAATAATGAAAATATTCCTGTGATAACTCCATGTATCTCCTGAGACAGGGTTAAACTAGTAGAGTTCTAATTTCCTTAACAGTAAGTAAAATAAGAATAGAGGTGAAATACACTACTCTATATTCAGTTGTGCACTTCACTATCTGGAATGCAAGATGGTCATCTTTGAGACACTGTGCAAGTAAAGGAGAATATTGTGAAGAGGCTGGCCATTCAGGCTTCTGTCCAAACTGGCATATTTTGAGAGTGGAATGAGCTAACATTACTTATTAAAATGGGATGCAATAGCCATAGGGAGAAAGAAGATGTGCATATGCATAGATTAAAAGCAACACAAAAAGTTCCCTGGAGTATTAATCTTGTTTGAATAATGAAGGAATCTAGTGCCCAGTGTCAAGATAAGTTTTTGATAACTGGCTGACAAAGTACTGAATATTTACTCTTTCTCAAAAATCAAAAGATGTATACAGTTCTAGTAACAGCCTTGGAGAACTGAAAGGAAGAGGTTAGAAAGATACCACTGTTTGGTGCTATCTGAGGCATCTTAATCTGACTCAGGTCATGCTGGTACACGGTCACTTGAGAGATAGTGTCTAATTTGTGTTTGACTCTCCTACAGCATCCAGCATGGTAAGGACTCAATCAACATTTTACTCCAATGAATGGGGACCTGATAAAAGGGTCTCAGCCCATCCCTTCCCAGCCTGACAAGAGATGCCAGGCTACAGACTGGGGTTGAAGAACACTGGGCTAGGATTTTGAGGCCACCATGGACTGATCTGATCCAATCCCCGTGGACCTCCAGAGTTTGTGGTTAGGTTTGCCTGTGGCAGAATCAAGGCAACCTATGCTGTTCTCTTGTGGTACAAAGTTCAACATACGGTATCTGCAGGGGTTCAGGTGTGGGGAATACACCAAGCAAATAAAGGCCCCAGAGACTTAGATGCTTAAATATGACAAAGGGCAAGTATTAATAACTATACTGCAGCAGAGAAATAAAAGCATTATTTATGTATGCAATTAACAAAACTACCACCTTCCGGAAAGTCCAACAGCCACCAGGTAAAGAGAGTTCGTTTCTTTAAGGCATGTTTGCCAACAGTGCAATCATCACCTTCACCTTAAAATTTCATCTGATGGTACTGGTCCACTGTTCGCTGTTAGCCTCTAACAGTAAACAGGGCGTTAAGATAATTTTGGAATGCAAACAGGCTACCTCACTTTTTGAAATGTTTTGGGGTGACCACAAATTGACCAGCTTTCAATAAGCCAGAGTTGTTTTTCACATCCAAAGAATTGATTCAGTGGGACAAGGAAGCCCTCATGTATATTAAATAAAACACTACCAGGTAGATCAACTTTCATTCATTTAGATATAAAACGTGAAACTAGTACTGTCTCTCTGCCCATGATCAGACGGAATCAGTGAAGTCAAAACAGTGTCACTTCCCTAGGAACCGAACCACTCAGCCCTCGCTCATTCCGACCCTGCTTACACTGCGGCCAATGTCAGGCCCCCGCAGCCCTACCCCACCCCCACCCCGCCCCCAAGCCACAGTTAGTGATTTGGAACGAGACGGCAAGTGTTTGAACGGAAAACATTCCACCAAAGGGAGAAAGAGCCCAGACTGACCACTAATTCTGCTTTGTCCTTCAACCTTCTGGCCTCCTTCATGTGAAAATCTGCTTGTTGTCTGAAAGACAAGAAAAGACCAGGGGTGGGTCACAGGAACCTAAAAGTATTGGACTGGGGCAAGATGACTTAAGGCGACTGGAGGGGGACGAGGATGGGAGGAGAGGCAGGGCAAAGAGGAGGCAGGGGGAGGGGGAGGGAGGGGGAGGGGGAAGCAGCAGCATCCAGAGCCTTACTTGTCCAACTTCATGTGAGGCTTCCCTGGCTTGGAGTTACCATTTGGCAAAGAAGGCACTGGAAAACGATTTGCAGTATCTCCAGAAGATCCCTTAAAAAAGATCATCATACCGATCACCCTGTAACATTTCAGACCATTGGCCTAACTGTACCGTCTCTCTAAATTAGCCCAAAATAGTTCAAAAGCAAGGAACTCAAATGCTGCACACTCTAGCTTGGTCAAGCACTTTCTCAGCTAGATTCAACTGAAACTGTAGATTTGGATTGTACTGGGGACACAGAAAAGCCATAAGACAAGAATGCCCAAGAGAACAGATTATCAACAAAGCCAAATTTAACATTTTCTCTTAAGCAATACATACACACACACACTCACCTACCCCAGGTTAACAGGAAGGAAGGAATCTGTATTCAAGAAAGTGGATATTTGTTCCCCCATTATCACTAATAATGAAAGTATTTGAGATCAAACATCCAAACCAAGAACTAACCAGGGTTATCATGTTTTACTGCCAAAAACCTGATAGAAAATTAACACAAAAATCTATTCTGGTTTTTCACCTCTGAACCACTTTAAGAAGAATAAACTGCCACCTAAATTATCAGGTAATATGAACTATCTTTTACTCTCCCTCTGGAAAGTAGAGCGTTAAGCACAAATAACTCATTACTGCTTTATTAGAAGTGACGAATAGCTCTGAAATACCATCGTAGAAAACGTATCTTATTTGGGCATTTAAAGTAAAGACACACCAACATATTCCCTTTTATACATTACTGCCTCCCCTCCTTACTTTGTGTTCTGTAGAGCTTCCAGGGCCCTTCCCCTCTACTTTTCTGTGCTTGGAAACAGAAGAGTCTCTGTGGTTGCCCTTGGTACTACTGGCACTTTTGGGAGGGTCCTGGCCACTGGGGTCGGCTTCCTGTCTTGACCTCTTTTGTGCAGGCTTGGCTGGCTTCTGGGAGGATGAGGATGACACAAGTGAAGGGGGAAGCATTTCCTTCTTTGAGGGCTCAGAGGAGGGCCTGGGCGCTCTGGAATGAAACATCATGCAAAACTAAGTTAAGGCAAAACATGAACCGTATAACTTAGTTGTTGAGTTATAAGGACAAAATGGCTGTTGACACAAAAGATAAAGATATCACAGAGCCATGAAATCCATTTTTGTAGAAAGGCCAAATTTCAGAGCCCTTTTTTTCTGATGCCTTTGAAAACTACAGTCCTACCTGTGAGTAATGAATGAAGTTGTATAATTTGTCACTAAGCTTGCGGAGTCTGCCAATGGTCTTACCTTTACCCAAGCAAGTCACTCTGCAGTAGCTGCTGCCCAACCTGCACCTTGTCTCTGACAAGCAGGCAGGCCCAGCTGCCACCTCCTCTCTGCCCCCTTCACGTCTGACCCCTTCTCTCTCTCTCTTTCAAATCTCTGTTGGTTCCTACATGGTGACACGACTCACTTGTTTTTGCCAAGTCTTTTTGTGCTTTTGATACATCTAAGTTTGCTGCCAAATGAACCGTTAATTCTTCTAAGGTCCTCGTGAAGGAAAACAAACAGAACTTAGCATATCGTCAAAATGAGCCCGACGAGTTCACTATTCTCTCGTTCTACTGCAGAAGAAAAGTGTTTTGCCGTGTTGCCATCCAGGAAGATTCGATCACCTTCGCAGCCTGTTCCTAATCTCTATACTCACTTTGATTTAGAAGATTCTTTGTGGGAGGATGAGGGTGATGACTGCGATTTGACTTCTTTCTCCAGCCTGATTTTCTTGCTATCGTGGTCTCTTTCTGCTTCACCCTATTATTGTAGTATAACAGCAAATTATTACAAACATAATTGTACAGACAAAATAGAAAAAAATATGCAGCAAGGTCAATGAGAGCAATCAGACTTTTGGAAACTTCTAAACACACACAGAAACCTTATAAGTATCTACACTGTGTATGGGAGGGGGGTGGTGGTGAGGGCAGCAGACGGTCTAGATTTGATGTGATTTGTACTGAGACGGATTTGTACATGAGGAAGGACTAAGGAAAGAACCAGGTTTTTCTCTACTCAGGAAGAAAACAGATTCGTTTTCCCATGACAACATGTATATCAAATTTACAGAAAGTCCAAAATGCAGGCTCCTTCCCCCTGGTCTGTGCTCACGTAATGGCCCTGTGGGAAGGAAGCTTTCTAGCAAGGACAGTGAAGCGATGGGTGGGAGTCCTTCAATCGACTCAGGTGCTTTAGAATTAAACTCCTCAACTGTCAGCTCACGGGGAGAGAAATCTGGGACACCACCAGCCAATCTAGGACAATCCCTAAAAAACCCGAAATCCTCTCTTAGAGCCTTAAAGGGAAAAACAACATTCTTCAAATGATCTCATTGTGGGAGGCCCCGGTTTTCACCACAGTCTCTCCCTCGTTCTCTGAATTTCTCCAGGAAAAATGAACAAATTAAGATGTGTAGGCTCAAGCTCTGCCCAGGCGCAAATCAGCGGCCTGGCCCTGCTCAAAAGGAGGGAAATAGCAAAGACATGCCCTTCCCTCCCCCGGCATTCTGCAAGCAAGCGTGCCTGGGTGTGCGCCTCCATCCAGCCTTTCATAACTTCGCAGAAAACATCTCCCTCTTGTTTCAAAATGGACCACTGAAGATGGCTTATAAGGATACTTCGCTTTCATCTCTCGGTGTTTGCACAGGTGAGAACATTAAGAAGAAGGGAAAATATGGGGGAGAAAAGAAATCCAAGGGAAGGCTGGTACTATGGTACCACTGGAAGCCGATTCCGCTCTGTCCCGCACACTCCATCCCAGAGCTGCCCAGCACTTGGACACGGCTAGTCCACAGCGACAAGTGAAGTCAGGGACTTTGTCCAAAAAAGGAGAATGTAATCGTTTTTCTACTGATGAAATACTGAAGTGGTAATTTTAGACACACTGGATTAAATTATTTATCACTGTTTTTTTTTCCTTTTTATATTCTTAACGTGGCTACTAGAAAATTTTAAGTTATGTATGTGGGTCACATTATATTTCTACTGGACAGAACTGTTTTACACACTTTTCTAGAGGTGATCTGCAAAATGGACCTTGAACTTCCAATGAGCTGATGCAAAGAAAGAATTATTAAATGTACAGGTTAGGTAAGATAAAAACAAATCAGTTGCTCAGAAACATAACCATTCATTACAGAAGACCGGGGAAAAAGGGTCTTGAGGGACTTAATAAGAAGAGAACACATGATGTGAATAAGTATATCCCACAGGCATGGCTGAAACAGTAAATTTCACACGGCTGTTTCTCACGTGGCAGGCAGTGCAGGCCGGCAGCACAAGCCTGGAGCACAGTTCAGGACAGATGAAAGGTCCTGGCACAGGCCAGGAGAGGCCTGTTGCAGCTCTGCCCAGCATGTAACTCACCCTCCATTCAACAATTCATAATGAACTCAATGTTGGCAGAGAAGAAAGAATAAACCAGAAGTGACTGGTTAAAATAGAACCCTACTACTAAGGGGTATCCCCTCATCACTACACCCACTGTGGCCAAGAGGCTCTGCTACCAATGGCCCCAGTGAATTCTCTCGAGTTTTAGATTAAAGGCCACACAGCTGGCCCAGCAAGCATTACAAGAGGGTGGGAAATTTATCTTTCGAAAAAGTCACAGAATTTGCTAAAATACCCAGGCAGGTAATTAACTTGCACATGAAGTAGTTAGTAATACATACTTTTTTAAATGGAAGGCATTTCCAGGCAGTTAACGACATGTGGGATAAGTCCCCAAGACAAAGCTAAGCATAAACGGTCCACAAGGTTACTTTCTAAAGAAAACACCAAACCCCAGAGGTGGAATGAGAGTTAATTTTTGTTTGTATATCTTCATGCTGCTTAGGACATGCTAGTTATAACTAGAAACCAAAGTGGCAGGCCTTATAAACCACACATGAAAATAAGATTCATAGTGAGTCAATCCTCATAAACTGGTTTTAACTCAGGCTTGTGCCAATCAGTGACTCAAGAGAACAGCCCAAAACCAACAATCACCAAAGACTAACTTCAATGCTAGCTTTAACAACCATGTTGGCACTTTCTGGAATAATACACTTTATGTTGACATGTAGCAACTTAGAAGCTGGTAATATTCTGTCAGCTGGTAGAATGTAAGCCATTAAACCAATTAAGCAAAATCCCCTTCTGTTGACTGTGCTTGCTTTGACCCGAATTCACGCCTGTGGGCCGGGGTCAGTATTTTTGTAGTTGGAACCCTCTTGTCTTCTGTAGGAAGAGTCCCGGGGGCATCCCCAGAGCAGACACTCCGTGAGCATTCGTCAGCTGGCCCAGGAGCAGACCTGCACTACAACCCTAAGTGGATGGATTTAGCAAAGCGCCATTAGAGAGGGAGTCATCTGATCCTGGGTGGCAGGAAGCACACACTTGAATTCCAAGACTGGAAAACAGAAGGCAAGGAGTTCTTGAGATGTTTCTGGGTCAAGAAGCCATTTGAAAGTGAGGTGAGAGTGACGTACTCTCTTCAGAAGGAAAAAGGAGTCTCCTTTGCTCAGTGGCTTATCCACAGATCAACTCCCATTTCAGGGACCCCTGTCTAAGGTCTGGGTCTTGGACACTCCCTTTTTCCAGAAGGACAATGTCTCGACGGTGCCCGCATCTCCAACAGGAGGAGCCTGCTGGCCGATGACTGTTCCTGACTGACTTGTTTACTTTTCTTAACCTGTTGGGTCAGGCAGCCTCAGATTATCTGCCAAATGCGGCTCCACCTACAGAGTGGAGCAAAAGGGCAAGAATGAACACCATAAAAGGAAGATCTGGGACTGTGCTAGGCCAAGCCGGTTTCTGAAGAGAAGGCCTCCAGGGCAGCCTGCTGCCTGCCTCAGCACCTGACTCACCAACTAGGTGCCGCAGATAACAGGGGGCAGTGAAAGTGGCTTTTTTAGAGCTAACACTTGTTTGGGGCCATAGTTTCTAACAGGCAGAAAGGTAGTCGACTCAGAGCTTAGCCATGATGGGGAGAGATGACGAGCATCTGGAAGGGAAACTAAAGTGTGGCGGGCACTAGGGTGGCAGGAGTGGGGACAATGGAGGGGTTGAGCCAGGGATGATATTGTAACAGCCCGTCAGTACACTGATCTGGAAGTACGACCTCAGGCCTTGCTCCAAGAATGCCACCAACGCCCCCCAACCTGCACCCACCCCCTAACAGGCACTTGCACACACACCCTGCTCCTCCGGCCCCACCCCACTAAAAGCAAGAAAGGTGTGAAAGAGGGACTTCCCTGGTGGTCGAGTGGTAAAGAATCTGCCTTCCAATGCAGGGGATGTGGGTTCAATCCCTGGTCAGGGAACAAAGATTCCACATGCTGCAGGGCAACTAAGCCCTCACGCCACAACTACTGAGCTCGTGGACCTCAAGGAGAGAAACTTCGTGCCGCAAACAACAGAGCCCACGTGCCCTGGAGCTTGCGCACCACAACTAGAGAAGAGAAAACCTGCACGCCACAACTAGAGAGAAGCCCGCAACACCACAATGACAGATCCTGCATTCCTCAACGAAGATCCCGCGTGCCACAACTAAGACCCAATGCAGCCAAAAATAAATACATAAATAATAAATATTAAAAAAAAAAAAAAAAAAAAGATGTGAAAGAGAGTCAAGGAGCCAAGATCCACTAGACTGGGAGGGGTCAGCATACTGAGCTCCAGGCCTGCTTTTGCTAAGCAGCCAAGTGATGTGAAGGCCTTTCTGGATCCCATCTAAAGAAGGTAGCAGCTGAACAAGAGACACATGTGGTCTCAGCACTCCAATTCTAAATTCTATCCTCCTCTCCCACAGGGAAGCAAATACGCTTGGTAGCACATGGAGCATAGCAAAAGTGGAGAAGCAGCCTTTGGGGAAGTTCAGGTACTTTTCTGGGATTTGCCTCTGCAGGAGGTTCAACAAGACGACGCCACAGCAGGTAAGTCCAAACTGACCCCATGAATGAGGCAGGTTATATTCACTGGGGAAAGTACCACAGAAAAGCAAAGGGAATCCACTCTTTTCCTTCTTTTTGGTGAGGGAATACACAGGCATTAGACTGGCCCTAAAACAGCTCTTCATATGATGCTTTTAGGGTAACTAACAGGCATGAAGAAATTAGATGTAAGTGGCTTTAGGAAATTATAGGGATGACTTTTCAAACCCTTGATTTTGAAGGATAATAACTGGGAATGTTGATCTGGAGAAACAACCCAAGAGAAAACAGTCAGATCTTGGGAAGGTCTGAACTAACCATCAAGCAATAAAAATGCACATTTTCCCACCAGATCCCATAACTTCCCTCCCCACTCCTCAAAACACACATAAACGATGGCACTGAAATGTTTGTCCAAAAGTGTCCAAGCTTCTTGGTCCGTAAAGTAGTTATTTATAAAAAGGGAAAGACCTGAATGAATGTAACCTCCCAGTTCTGTTATTTGTCTAAACGACTGTTGAGACAGTCTAGCATTTTATTTGAAAGACATCTATAAGGTGACTGAATGAAATGAGGTTATCTAAGAAAGCACCGAGAGCAATGCTTAGCTCTATGCATGTTTGGTGTGCTTTTAGAATCTTCTCATTTGCACTACCCTGATAGTATATTATCTTGTGCTTCTCAGCTTCAACTTTTCTTCTAAGTCTAGAATAATAAAGCTTAAAAATTATATAAAAGAAAATATAAGTTCTATTTTAAATTCTAAACTGTAATCAGGTTGAAGAAATTCTGTAGTTTATGTAAGGAGTACCATGTGAGTTAATGTCTATTTACCCTCACAATTTTCTCTTTTTTCTCATGAATTGTCCCCAACCCACTCCTTTAAAGTAGAAGGAAAAAAAGAAAAAGGGGAAAAAAAATATATAGGTACATTTCTATAGATGCCACATTTGATGGCTTCATCACAGCTATTAACAACTATTAACTCTTTTTTTTTTCAGGCTTAAAAAATATGTTTTTTAATATATAAGGAGAGATTTGGGGGGAATATTTAATCTTCATAATGGAATCCTTTTTTTTAACATCTTTATTGGAGTATAATTGCTTTACAATGTTGTGTTAGTTTCTGCTTTATAACAAAGTGAATCAGCTATACATATACACATATCCCCGTATCTCTTCCCTCTTGCCTCTCCCTCCCACCCTCCCTATCCCACCCCTCTAGGTGGTCACAAAGCACTAAGCTGATCTCCCTGTGCTATGCAGCTGCTTCCCACTAGCTATCTATTTTACGTTTGGTAGTGTATATATGTCCATGCCACTCTGTCACTTCGTCCCAGCTTACCCTTCCCCCTCCCCACGTTCCCGTGTTCTCTAACTCTTTATGATCATTTTCTCACACTTTTGAGTCTAAAATGGCTTTAAGGGTTTGTTAACCCTCTGAAAATATTTGTTAAATTTTGTGCCAAGAGAGGGATGAACCTTTAAATAAATCCCACTAATGCCAAGGAGCAGGAACATTATTCAACGGCTCTCATTATATTCTCGTGGAGTTTTTTCTAGCGTTCACACTCAATATGAAGGAAATGAACAAGTCTTCACTATCCAAATTTGGGGGAAAGCACCTAAGCTTAAAGAGAGACCTGGGCTGCCCACAGAGCTGCCCCGCTTGTCCAAGGGTGGTGGCCAAAGGTACCCTGAGCAAGTAGAGTCAGGGTCCTGACAGGAAAGGGGGAGCCTGCCCCTCACAGAGAGAACCTGAGGTTATGATGTTCAGTATTAATACCACCACCTGGAATCCAGCAGGAAGCAAAACCAATGACACACAGTTCTCTGATCATGAAAGAGCTATACTGTTGGCTGATGTTTATATTTATCTGAAAGCTCCTAAGTAATGTTTCTAACCAGTGACATACTTCAGGCCAGGAATTCCTGGTTGTCTAGATCCATGATGTCTAAATGCACCACAATGAAGAGATTTCTTGGTCCAAAACACTAGCTTTATACAATCCTGGCCTGGTAATAAGGTTTTGCTCCAGAGCCTTAGGCATTAGGATCACCCGAGCAGTTAGAAAATAACAATGGGAGTGTGGGGCTGGGGGGTGGCACACATCCTGCCACCAGTACTGAGGGTTCCCCAGGGGACCGGAATGTGCAGCCAGGGTTTGGAACCACTGGTTCAGCCCCTGATCCTGTCAGTCCCACAGCAGGGAGGCAGGCTGTTCCCAGAGCCAGATCTCTCAGCTGCCTGCCAGAGCTTTAAGGCAAGCATGGACTTGCCTAAGATGAGGCAGTCATTATTTCTCCATCCTTTGAACAGAAAGATAAATAAGCTGCCCTAGGAGAGCTCAGCCAAGGGCTGGAAAAATGGCTTTCAGAGGGCACAGTTCATATACTCAACAGGGACAGCTGAATTTCCCTTTCTGGAGTTGCAAGCAGAGCTTCTAGATTTGCATTGGAGGATGGACTGGTCTGACAACTGTCTGGGGAGCCTCCAATTTCCAACATTTACCCCCAGTTAAGTAAGCGTTTTAGAAGCTAATACTTCTCCCCTCTCCCCACTCCAGCTGATGCAGAAGGTCAGCAGTGGAGACTAGATAGTATTAGGGTAGCTGGGGGACAGGTGACAAAAGATTTCCCAGGAGGAGGTAAAAGAGTGTATTTTTGCTATTGATTCTACGTATAAAATAGGTAACTAATGAGAACCTACTGTATAGCTCAGGGAACTCTACTCAGTGCTCTGTGGTGACCTAAATGGGAAGTAAATCCAAAAAAGAGAGGATATTTGTATACATAGAGCTGATTCACTTTGCTATACAGTAGAAATTAACACAACATTGTAAAGCAACTAAACTCCAATAAAAATTAACTTTAAAAAGATGATGTGATATATACATATGTACAAAATAAAATAAAATAAAACACACATCATGAAAAAAAAGTATATTTTTCAAGATTTCTCGGGTATATTAGATGCAGGCACCTTTTCCTAGCCTGGCCCATCACAATTTTCTCCATAAAGTTTTACAACTCTTACAGGCACACATTGTTTTAAAACTTATCAAGGACTTCCCTGGTGGTGCAGTGATTAAGAATCCGCCTGCCAATGCAGGAGACACTGGTTCAATCCCTGGTCCGGGAAGATCCCACTTGCCGCAGAGCAACTAAGCCCATGCGCCACAACTACTGAAGCCTGCGCACTTACAGCCCATGCTCCACAACAAGAGAAACCACCGCAATGAGAAGCCCGTGCACCGCAACGAAGAGTAGACCCCGCTCGGTGCAACTAGAGAAAACCCACGCACAGCAATGAAGATCCAATGCAGCTATAAATAAATAAATAAATAAATAAAACTGGGCTTCCCTGGTGGCGCAGTGGTTGAGAGTCCACCTGCCGATGCAGGGAACACGGGTTCATGCCCCGGTCCAGGAAGATCCCACATGCCGCGGAGCGGCTGCGCCCATGAGCCACGGTCGCTGAGCCTGCGCGTCCAGAGCCTGTGCTCCGCAAGGGGAGAGGCCACACGGTGAGAAGCCCGCGTACCGCAAAAAAAAAAAAAAAAAAAACTAAACTAAAAGTTATCAGGAACCAGAATACACCCTCTTCTAGCTGAAACAGCACTGCCAATTGGCACTTGATCCCACCCCACTGGACTTGCCCGCTGCAATTATGGTGGCAATACACACCCTCACGTCTCATTCGACAAGGCACTCCAGAAACTGTCGCCCTTTACTATTTGGTAGAGTCACATTGTATTTTTAACCTAGTGGAGTAATCAGTCACATCAGACACGACAGCAGTCTTCATGATCTTTTTGTCCTTGTTATTCTTAGCTCAACTTCCACAACTGAGTAAGAGTTTTTTATGTATTTATAAGACTGTTTATATTCCTTCTCAGCAGGCAAGAGTTGGCCCTTCTTGTGCCTTTCACTCTGAATCTTGGGTAGGTTGGCTTGGGAATGCCACTGCGGGGAAAACTCACTAATCTTTCACCATCAAGAAGCAGCAAAAAAATATATATCAAGAGCTCAATAATTCAGAATAAAGATCGAAAGGAGACTGTTCAAAATAGTGTATATGTCCAAGTAACAAGGGTCTTAAATAATGCAGGGATTATTATTATTATTTTACTATGTTCATTCCTTAAGTGAAGCTTCCAAATACCATGATAAATGACAGATTTCAATACTTCACAATGTACCATAACAGCCTATATCACCCAAAAAGATGCCCTAACCATCTCTATAATAGCTCTAAACCTTTTTTTCATAATGCTCTGCTCATTAGTAAAAGTCATTAACAGGAGTCACAAATTCTAAATCTGGTGGTTTCAAATTAATGAGGTGTTAGGCGGCCATGAGTTAAAACATGGATATAATATCAGTATCAAAATGATCAAACTACAGGAGTAAAATTTAGTATATAGCACTCCTGTCAGTAATTCAGAATTCACATTTCAGTTCATGTAAGGTTTTAATTTCTAGGGCAAAACCTAATGAGCCAGGTGGTAAATACCAATATTATCACAATAGATAAAAACATACCCTTAATGCTATATTATTCTAAAGCAAGATACCCTTTTCAATGACTGCCTCATCTTTTTTTCAAACTAGCAAGACTTAAAGCAATCTGGCATTTATCAACACTTACCTGCAGTGAAAGACTAACTCTGGTATAGTCGCAAAGGCAACATGGAATCCAAAGATTTCCAGCCTCTTCTAAGACGACTCAGGGTTAAAATCAAGGGGCAAAGACAGCCCCAAGCCCGCAGCAGGTATGTTCCACACTGTACGGGAAGGTCAGCCCCCCACTCACCTTTCTCTTTTTGGCCAACTTGCTTGAGTTTTCTGAGCTTCTCTTCTCAGAATCTGCCTTCTTCGCTGCCGAGGGCTGTTTGTCTTCTGGTTTCTTGGGGCGGCTGCCCTTCCCAGCAGGCTGGGGTATCCGAGAGAGGAGGTCCAGGGTAATCTTCACCATCAAGCTTTGTGGGAGCGGAGTGTCCCTGAGCGGGGAGAGCAGCTTGGTGTCTCTCAAAGGCACCAGGGGTTTGTCCTTGCGGCGGTCCTCCTGGACAACAACTGCCAGTCGGCAGCCACTAGTCCTGGCGCCGCCACTGCGGGCAGGGCCCTGGCTCTGGGTCAGGGGGACGAGGGCAAAGTGCTCGGGGCTCCTGTCCTCCGCCGCGTCCTTTGGAGGTGCCTTCGGGGGGGCCGGGGGGCCGCTCCTGTGCTTCTTCCGTTCGCTGGGGGTGGGCGCCACTGGTTTGGGCTCACGGCTCTCTGCGGCACGGGGCCGCCCTTTCGTCTTCACCTTGGGCTTGTCTTTGGAAGGCTGGTCTTTGGAGGCTTGGGGAGGAAGTCCAGGCTCGCTCTCCACCAGCAGACTGGTGCGCGCATCTGCATGCGCATCCGCATGCCCCGGGGCGGAGGCCTTGACGGGCTTCTTGGGTTGTTTGGATCCCACGGTTTGCCTCTGTGGGGGCTCCTGTTGGGCAGGGGACTTCTGACAGCTCCTCTTGCCCGCATGGGGGCCTTCGGAAGGCACCCGGGGGGCTTTGCTGGAGCTTTTGAGGGGAGGCTCTTTGGACTCCGAGCGCTCGTGACCTCCGGTGGCGCCGTCGCCACCCTTGCCTTTACTGTCCGGGTGCCGGGCCGGGGGCACAGCGCTGCCCGGGGCCTCGGCGGGCGGCGCGGGCTGGCTGACTTTGGTCAGCCAGTTGTCCAGCTGCCATTTGTTTGTTGTCGGAGGTTCGGGCTACAAACAAGGAAAAAGAAGATAGGGTTAACTGACCAATAATGATACTCTTCTGGGTTAGTCACCCAATCCTACAGGACTGGCCAGGAGATGCAATCACTCCAAACCTAAGAATTCAGGTCCTTTTGACCCCCCTCTAATTATAGGTCAAATTCTGTAACAATTAACTCTTAAAACAATCTTCCAATTTTTTCATGCTACAGGAATTTTGCTGTGGCTGACACTAATAATAGACCATTACATACTGACCAATGTAGACCATTGGCAACTGCGGAGAAATCTGTGTAATAAATATTTTGTTCCACTGGTAATTACCATATAATTTAAACAGAATTTTCACATTTTGGCTTGTGAACTATTCTGTCAGAAAATGATAGGGAAAAATGAAGACTAAAAAGAATCTTTTCATCAAGGATTTTCAGAAGAAGGTCAATGAATAAGTCTTAGTGATTATGGATGGGTTTCACGCTTTATCCCTTTTTTTGATGTACTTGTCAATTGAAAATGACTTTCTTCAAGACGATTTCATTTCTCTTATTCACTTAAAAATATTAATACATGACACAGCTTTCAGTTTATCACAGATACACTGTCTTCTGATTTTCAAATTTTACAACTGGGTAAAAAGAACCAAGTGAGGTCACATTTGCCAGCCATTAGTCCCACTTGAATTCTTTAAAAATCAAACATGAAGTCTCCTGTTACAAGCAGTCTCTGAAATAGCACCTATTTTTCTAAGAAACACAGGGAGGCTCCAGAGCACACAATTAAGAGCGGTGAGATTATACTGATTATCTGTGAAACTCACTTGGCAAATAAACAGAAGTCCCTGACTTCTCCTGTTATCTTAACAGGAGATATCTTGTTAAAATCTTTGTTGCTAACTGACTATTGATGCATTGCACTCTCTCTCTCCAAATGGGATATTAGATCTTATTAAAACAATGATGAGGACATCTTTATCTCCAAATTCTACTATTATGTCTTGCACACAGTGGTGTACATGAGATATTTATTTGGGCTTTTTCATGGGTGTATTACTGTACCTATAAATTTTATGCTATTTGGGAAAATATTCATGCCTTAATAAAGTAAGTAATGATTACTTTTTTTTAAAAAAAGGACAGTATGTCACTGGCATGCTTCATGCTTTTAAGATCCTTTCTGACAGGTGGTTTGTATAAATGACTAAATCATTTCCACAACACAACAGCAAGTTAATCAAAGATATCTCACATGGGATTAACTGATTAGATTATTGAGTAAGGAGCTCGCTCCAGTAAGTGGATGATATAGGGAAGACTGCTAACAATTTTCCCAAGTGGAATATCCCAAACAATTCAATTCTATAAAAACACGCAAACGTAATACGTTTAAGATATGTGGATATAACGTAAAGGCTTTGGGGCCAGGAAAAGGTTAGGTAATAAAACGATCAGGTAGCTAGACTAGGCTTTGTGTAATTGTAACAAAAGAGAACTAAGAGGAACTCTAAGGAACTAGGTAGGATCATACTTTGGCCAGAAAGAGGGCTACAGAATTGTGGGGTTTTTGTTTTTTTTTTGTTTTTTCCCTGCTTAAGACAACATACCTTCTTTGTAGCTCCCTCCACTTATATCAACTCTATCCCCATGCTCTCATTTGAATTTCAGAGCAGGGAGACAGGGAAGAAGGAAACTACTCTGACAAAGTCCCACATAATCTAAAACTGCATTCAATATTCTAACAAAACAGGATGGTTGTTTAGGGTAGAGAAAAGATTAGCACACCATACCTACCTACTTGTCAGACATTATTTCTTGAAAGACTTGAGGGCGTGGTAGTTCTAATGGTTAAATGATTGGGAACAAGGCATTAAGATATATCATTTATATACTGGGAGACTGGGAGATTGGGATTGACATATAAACACTATTGATACTATGTATAAAATAGATAACTAATGAGAACCTACTGTATAGCACAGGAAACTCTACTCAATGCTCTGTGGTGACCTAAATGGGAAGGAAATCCAAAAAAAAAGGGGATATATGTATACATATGGCTGATTCACTTTGCTGTACAGTAGAAACTAACACAAGACTGTAAAGCAATTATACCTCAATAAAAATTAAAAAAAAAAAAAGGATGTATCACTTATCAATCACCTCAGGAACCAAATCCTTCAAACCCTTTCTCGGGAAAGGTATAGAGATCTTTCACCAGGGCTACGCTGACAACTGCACTGCAATCAGTGACACTCTTGCTCTATAGAAGAGTACCTACACATTAACCAAAAGGGAAGGTCATTCCTGGTATAAATAACATCCGCTTCTCCCCCCCACACCCCAAAACAGGGCAGTTTAAGATACATTTAGTAGTCCCTAAAGGAATGTCCTGGTTACAGAAATAAAACATATTTTCTTCTACTGCGGTACTGAAAATGTCCAGAAGGGAGGCCTATGGCCCAATTGCAGGGTAAAACTGAGTTGGTGTGCCCAGACAAGAGGAAAGGGTAGGGGTGATCCTTTTTGTATACCTACTACAAAGATGTAAACTAGATAGAATTCCTTTAAGGTCAGGTATTATTTGGGTGCTGGGATGGGGGAAAGTTTTACATGAGGGATTGATAAAAAACAGATTTTAAGATGAATTTTAAGAGTGTAAGTGCTGGAGAGGATCAAGGTTTGGACTTTCATTTCTTCCTCAGCCTTTCCCCACGCCCCACCCTCAGCCTCCCAGTGCTGGATCAACCCAGACACTGCACAGAGGAGTGCAAAAATATATGAGCATCTTAATAAATGTTTGACTGTATGTCTCTTTACTTCTCCTAGCTTCTCGAATTGGCAAAAGTTCGCGTATTCTAGAATGATTATGAAAAAAAAGTTTTGAGCTATGCACAACATATACCTTTTTTTTTTTTTTGTAAAACATCATAGTTGTTGTGAGGGAGTACAACTCCAAAACTTAAGAGAAAAGAAAAAAAAGAAAGAGAGAAGTAGCATGATGTAGTAGGAAAAAAAATGGCTTCTGAGTTAAACGGCTATGGGTTTCAATCTTAGTGCTGCTACTTCCTTACAGGTGAAAAGAAATCTCCCGACCTTCTAGGGTTGATGGTTACATTATGTAATTTATGAAGAAAGTGCCAAGATCTTAGTAGATAATCGACCACAGTTGTTTACTACCAAAGAATTAGACAATGAATAGATCAGAAAACTAAGCAGATCCCTGAATAACAGAATAGAATCATTTTTCCCTGAACTTTACTTAAGCTGCAAAAGGGCGATACGTCCCATATAGTCTGAAAAGCTGAGATTTACATGCTGACTCACTATAAAGAAGAGACTGAAAGTGGTTTTTCCCCAAGTTCACCACCAGCCCATTGGCACACATATAACATTTCAGGTCTCATAAGGTCACTGGACAACTTCGTCAAATGAATTTTAAATGGAGACTTAAGGAGCAAATTCCTCAGCATTAAAAATAGAATAAAGAAAAGGGTGAGAAAGTTAAAACTAGTAACTATGACCTATTATGGAATTCACGTAACGCTCAACTAACAAAGATTTACAATAATGCAGGTATTTATTTTAAAAGGAAAGAAAGGTTGTTAAATAACTTTGGGAAAAATGAAAGGTTTAAAATCTAGACAAAGACAAAAATATGCCTGAGGAAGTCAAGCCTTGGTACATAACCAACAAAACCATACTCAAGTCTAGATTTGTACATTAACACAAATATACAAATATGAGCCTATTTAGGAAAGTGATTTTAAAAAGCAAAGTATGATGGGAACATCATTTTTCATCTAAGAGTCTCTACATCTATTCTATTCAATAACCTCGTGAGCAACAAGATATAATTGCTTCATTAAAACAAACACTAGGCTAAATTTTTCTTTCAAGTTTTAATTATTCAGCCAAGTCTGTGCCATTTCCATTTTATTTGAATTGAATTTTGATTTAATTGGATTCTCTTGCTTATATCAGTAACCAAACAAGCATGCAGATTTTTCTTAGTGAATAAGGGTGAGACATAAAGCAAAGATCTTATGAACAGTAACATGAACAAGCACACAATTTCTCTGTAGAGCATATTCAGTACCCTTTTCCCCGGGGCATAGAAAAATTACTTCAACAGCAATTAGTATCTCAGGAGAAAACAGAGAGCCCCCAGAAATACACAGAGTAGCTTCTAAAATCTGAAAGGCACTTCAAGTGCAGCTAATGCTGATCTATGTTTATTCACTCCAAAAATAATTACTGAGCACTTACTGTGTGCCAGACATAAACTCATATCTAACAACAACAACAACAAAATGATACTCAGGTATTTTCCTCATCCTCCCTTGCCCTCGGACATGGCTCCTCAGTCTCACTACATCATCTCCAGATGGATTTGGTTAATTTAATACTCTAGTGCAGTGGCCTTGCTTTCTAAACAGCAGAGACAAATACTGAAAACTTTAACGCTTTCTTAATCAGAAAATCTCATTTCCTGGGATTCCTACCTAAATACAGAGAATAGTTTTCTCTATATAAGCTTGTCTAGTTCACTAAAAATGTCTTCCCCAGCAAACATTTTACCCTGCTACTCTAAGTTTTGAAGGCATTTGGCAACCTTGTTAGTTGTTACTACATTAGTTTTATTCAACAATCCAGTAAATAGCATAAGTTCTCCAGATACATTTAGCACTTGAGATTTTCAGTCTCATCTGTTTATCTTTACAATATCTCCCAAGGGTGGGTGACAGGTAAGCACTATTCCTATTTTACGTGGGACAGTGGAATCAAGAAACACGGCCCTGGCAAAATTACATCGCCATCAATTTAATGCATGGCTTTTAGTGATTCAAAAATAGAACCTCTTACGGCTTATTTCTAGTTCACGTTCCTGCCCTTTGCTAAATCAGGCTGTCTCCTTTTGATTTAATTCATGCATTCCTAAAATTTCAAAAAGCTTTCTCATTAATATTAAAATGGCAGCCTACTGAAAACGATTTTTGTTTTTTTGTTTTTTTTTTCTCGAAAGAAGGGAAAAGAAAATGGGGTGTACATATTCTCAGTGAGTTGCTCTTCAAAACAGCTCTGGCAGCAACAAGAAAGAACCTATCATTTTCAACAGGAGAGACGACATCTCTCCCAAAGTTCCACAGCCCAACGCCAAGAAACAAGTAAACACGAATAGCCAGCAGCGTGCATGGCGGCCGGAAAGCGCCGCCCCCAGGACGGAGCCCCTCAGGCAGCCCGAGCCACCGGGGGTCGACTGCGCTCCCAAGACGGCCCGGAGCAGACCAGTACCTCGGGAGCCGGGGCTTCTCGAGGCTCGTTCTCCTCGCTGTCACTGGAGCTGCTCTCGCTCTCCGAGTCCGAGGAGCTGTCAGAGTCGCTGGTGCTCTCCGACTCTGCGCTGCTGGAATGTGCTGAGGCCGCGGCTGCCGGCAGCGCCTGCGGAGCGCTGCGGAGCAAGCGAGAGAGTCAAAGACCCACGCGAGGTGGATTCCTTCCCTCCCGACTCCCTTCCTTCTTTGCCCATTTTTCTGCTACTCGAAAGAAGGGGCCTCAAAGATTACCTAGCAGTACTAAATGACCATGGCGGCCAGTTGAGCGCAAGCAAGGCCCATGGTGGCTCAAAACTCAGTGAAAAAGCCTTGCAACAGCTCACCAGGTAACTGCATAAAAGAAGCCTGGGGAATTTTTCTGAAGAACACTGCGAACTATGTAAAATGTAAGTGAGATGCAGGGTGCTTCAAATCAGGCGTGGACAAACCATGGCCTGAGCTGGCTGCCTGCTTTTCCAAATAAAGTTTTGTTGGAACACATTCACACCCAGTATTTTATGCATTGTCTGTGTCTGCTTCTATACTACAAAAGCAGAGTTGAATAGCTGCAACACAGACTTTATGGCCCACAAAGCCTAAAACCTTGACTTTCTGACCCTTTAACTTTGCTGACACCTGCAATATAAAACCCAAAGGAGTTAATTTATAAAAGAACAGCCAATCCATTAAAGTCTTTCTCTATTCTCCATATGAGAACCAACTGTAGAGAAGTCAGAGACTGCTGAACACAAATGGGGTTCCTTTGGAAAGTGACCCCACAGGCAATCCACTCACACTTCTTGGGCAGAATGATAAAATGGGCCGTTCTTTATGAGTGGCTTAGGATCACGCCCAAATATCAGCTGAAGTAGAGAATAACTACTTCAAGTTTTCAGGATAGGCAATAACTCTAGGCTTGTGAGAAAACACACAAGTGATCACACTGCTGGACACACAGAGAATTTCAAAGCGTATCTTAAAACCTTGCCCTAGATGGAATTAGCCACAGCAGTAAATCAATAACTATAATCGTGAAAGCCTCCAAATCTACCCAAAACATTTTCAAGATAATAAATTTATTAACTATATTAGAATAACAAAAATTTATTAGATAATAAAGTGACTAGTTGAGACAATTTTAAAACAAACACTATACAAAAACAGAATTTTCTCATGTCAAATTTGTGGTAGCTGAAGAGCTTAAACCAAGTGATGGTCAAAAAGAGATATACTTTCAGTATTATTCCTGCCTCTAATTATCACCCCCCCCCTTTTTTTTTCCTTTTATTCCCTCCTCCACTTTTCAGTTAGGTTACTTTGTCATATTTTCTAAGTCGTTACAAGCCACCAGGAATTACTGAACAAAATGGGATATAAATAAGCAGAGCTTATGAATCCTTAAGACCTCACATAATTATGCGTGATCTTCCTCCACATTAACTATAACCTCAGCTATATGAGAGCAAGGTTTTTAGTGCTGAGCTTGTCTCAAAATGGATGACCACATCTCAAGGGAGTAAAACAACTACAGGGTAATTTAACTCTTTGTCCACGGAGGACAGGTATTAGCATATTAAATCATTAAATTCAGTACCAGAAGAAATGGTAAATAAAGGTAGTTCACATAGTTTCCATTTCTAAAAACGAAAGCATTACATTTTCTAAAATATGGCTAAGCTGTTTACAAAGTGAAAACAGTGCCATTTTCCATCATACCAAAATGTACTGCAGGTCGTCTTTTTTTTTTTTTTTTTTTAGTATTTATTTATTTGGCTGCTCGGGTCTTAGTTGCGGCATACAGGATCTTTAGTTGCAGCGTGTGGGATATTTTAGTTGCAGCATGTGGCATCTAGTTCCCTGACCAGGGATCGAACCCAGGTCCCCTGCATTGGGAGCGTGGAGTCTCAACCACTGGACAACCAGGGAAGTCCCCTGCAGGTCATCTTTTAAAGCAACCGAAACAATTAGAAAATTCATATAACTATGAAGACAGGCACTATGGAAAACAGTTACTAGAAATAATTCAGCTTTAATTTTTGAAAACAGAGCAAATCTGTCACTTTCATAAAAACACTGAGCTCTTCAGTATAACTTTTCAAATACTGGTTACATAATACTGATGAAAGTGATTTAAGCTTATTTTAAATGCTCAAATTTTACACATACAAAACTGACTAAAGATTTAGGTGGACGCAGGGACTCTCTTTCATAGAGTTAACAACCTCCTAGGCCTGATTTAAGCTTCCAAAATATTAAACAGGTACTTTCTTTAACTATGATCATCCATCTCCTTCTCCCATGAAGAAGCTATGAAAATACTAAATAAGGCTGTAACTTCCCCATTTGGTAGAAAAAAGCAAACATTTTGTACAGATGGGGAGAAACCCAAACACAGTACCTTGGAGGTGCAGATGCAGACGGAGGCTTCTCTGGGGTCTAGGCATTCACAATAAGGGGAAGAAGGACCAGGAAAAAAACAAAAAACAGGTTAGGATAAGCGGCTCAGAAATGTTACATGGATTTAAATGAATTCCTGGTACTGTGGGGTGTACAGAACTTACTTGATCGCTGTCACTGTCCTCACTGTCACTGAGCTGAAGGTCATCTTTGAGCATGCTAAAACAGGCAGGGATAGAGACACTGTAGAGTTTAAAATAACGTCTAACAACTTCTTTTAGCATGTAAACATAAAAAATATGCTTAATGAAACAAAAGAGGGGTGGGACAGGTATAACTTTTATTTATTCATCAAATGCTTTATTTTCTTGGAAATGTTAAGTTTTACAATTTTAACCCAGAAACTAATTCAGTCCAAACTCCTTATCATTTCAAAACTGAGTCTTTCACACGTTCTGAGCATTAAAAGCAGAACTACAAGTTCTGCAAGTGATTTGTTGCCAGCCCTGAGACTAAGGGTCCCAGGTCCACACAAACAGAAGAAAACAACAACAAAAATAAATAAAATAGAAAAATATACAATACCCTCAAATCATTTTCTTCTATGGTCTCTAACAACTCGAATAAATGATTAACCATTAAATGAGTTAATATTGGATGAATATCTGTAAAGTACTTAGAACAGTGCCAGGCACTTAAAAAGTGCTATATATGAATTAAATAAATACATAAAAATACAACTGTCACCAAACAGTGCAGTTATGTTACGTTTTTGTCCAAAGACATTATTAATATTGAACTTTTTCACACACACAAATATCTTCTTCTGGGTGCTTGAACACTAATCCGTGAAAAGAGTAGTAATACAAATAACACTGTTGTCTAAAAAATATGTTTAACCTTCCTGCTATCACTCAGGTAAAAATAAAAACTCAGTTCATGTCCACAAAGTTATATTAATACTTCTCTCTAGGCATTCAAGTTTACGATGAACCTAAATATTAAAAGCAAACATTTTCCAATCTGTACTTTGTTTACTCAAATCTTAGCCCCTTCCCTACCCCCTCCCCTTTACTTTTTCATGGAGATATCCAACATCAAAGGAATGAATCTGTAATTGCTCCCCCCGACATCCCCCAAAATTTACAGGCATGACTCTTTGAGGAAATATTATAAGTGAAATTGGAAAAAAAAAAATCTGCTTGAGTATTACTGATGTTCCAAAAAGCAAATTATATTAAGAAGTTACAATCCTTCAGTATTTCTAAAAATACCTCTTCAATATTCTGACCAACGATTTTTATTGCAAACCCACTACCTGCCACTAAAGTAAGCAGACATTATTATTTTGGGAATCCATGGTAAAAATCACTATATTTTCTAATGAAAATAAATGGTAAAACTTGGCTCTTTCAAAAAGACCGCCTACATGCAATGTTGTAATTCTGCCAAGGACTTATTTTCACCAACAAATGCACTAAAAACATCTTGTGATAAGTTTCTTTTAAAAAATAAAAACTGTTAGCTACTTGTAAATGTAGATCTTGCTCAACATGTATCTAGTAGAAGCTAAACTATTTTATCAAGGCTAGAAGACACAGCCTTTGGATGTACAACTTGGCGGCAGCAATCTTAATGGTGTACAAGAAGAAGTCACTCAACAGGTTTACTGCTAAAAATGCCTTGGCTGGGATACATACAAGCAAAAGATATATCTTTGGAATAAATGTTAGGTATAATACAACCAGAAAAAACAAATCTGGCAAAGTATATTCCATGTTAACCACCAACAACAAAACCACAGTAAATGGACCTCTTTATTTCTTAGTAACTGGGTTTGTTTTGTATAAAGCTGATTTGCCTTAATTTCCTGAAACAGCAGTGATCATGTAATTCAAACACACTTCCTGTTGCATGCAGCGGACTACTAAATACCTTGTAAGTTGTTTGCTTAGCTACTGAATGCCCAGTTTCCGTACATATACTCTCCTCAAGTGAGAAAGTATATGAGATATGTTCAGTAAGTCAGAAAGTATATGTTCTGACTTTTAGCTCCACTTGCTCTTAGGGAATAGAAGGGACCATAAAAATGCTGTCCCAGGGCTTCCCTGGTGGCACAGTGGTTAAGAATCTGCCTGCCAATGCAGGGGACATGGGTTCAAGCCCTGGTCCGGGGAGATCCCACATGCTGCGGAGCACATAAGCCCAAGTGCCACAACTACTGAGCCTGCACTCTAGAGCCTGTGAGCCACAACTACTGAACCCATGCACCGCAACTACTGAAGCCCGCACACTCTAGGGCCCACGTGCTGCAACTACTGAAGCCCACACGCCTAGAGCCCGTGCTCCACAAGAAGCCACTGCAATGAGAAGCCCGTGCACTGCAACAAGAAGCCCGTGCACTGCAACGAAGAGTAGCCCCCACTTGCTGCAACTAGATAAAGGCTGCATGCAGCCATGAAGACCCAATGCAGCCAAAAAAATAAAGAAACCCCTTATTCTGAACATCAAAAAATGGGGCAATTTATTTTAAAAAAACAACAAAAAAACCTTAACCAAGTTTTGTTAATACAGAAAATTAATCATAATTGCCATCACAATTTTTTTTTTTTAAAAAAAGGATCTGTATAGTTGGGAAATTTGTAACCTGATGACAGGTAAAGGTTTTATGTTTAAATGGATCAGTTGCTAAAAACCCCCCTACTGTGCCACAAATAATTATATTTGAAGCCAAGCACATCACTAAATTACTACACTATACTTCATATATTATATTCTATATAATAGAATAGACCGGTCTTTCAATGTCAAGATGACAAATTGCAGCACATCTAGGTGACCCCCTTTGCACCCACTAAAAGAGAAGCAAATCTCTTAGATCTAGTCTCATTTATACCAATAAAACTTAGGTCAAGAAACATAAGACCCAAGGGACATATTCAACTGTAAGCTTTTCTGAAGCAGGATCAAGTCATTTTTGTCTTCATATTTTCTTTATCTAGAACTTGGCAGGTACCCTAAGAAGCTGGCTGAATGCACAGCATCCCTTTTGCTGAATAAGTGACAGTACCACATAGCTGTGCCCTTTATGCAATCTGAACTTAACAGGCATTGCTTTTACTCATAACCCCATGGGCTGACTCTGATCAACCCCTCACATTCTAAGGATGAGGAAACAGCTCAGAACAGCCACCTAACTGGCCTAAGATCATGAAGCTGGTATATGCTAGAGCCTGCAGGCAAAAGCCATTCCATCAGATACCATCTCCTTGCTCTGGCCAATATAGGACCAGTGGTTAGAAAACCTAACTGAGGGAATGAAATCTAAGTTCCAGAGCCCACTGAGAGAAAGACTCTGGTTTAAAAGAAAACAGGAACTATACTGCTGGAATAAAATGAATACACTATTTTTCTCCTATGAAAGTAAATGAACTTTAAACTTTATATACTGTTTAAACTGGTTAAATAACTAATTTCATTTCCAAACTCCAAGCAAACCAGTTATTTCGAAGCATATGGCACCATATGGCTTAGCTTGGCACTGTTCAAAAGGAGACAAATGCTCAGGTAAAGCAACTCTTTGAACTATCGTGTAGGTTTCACATTTTACATTGTCAGGTAAACTTCTTACTTAAAGGTTACAAACAATCCTCAAACCCCTTTGTACAAATGCATTCTTCAGACAGCTGTTCTGCAAAGCTGAAAGAGCTGCACACAGGTTCCGGCAGGCACGCTTCAGAGACTCAGAGCCCAGTTGTTACTGTGTGAAGACACACCAGACAAGCCTTTATTGCTCTTCCATTCCTCCTTCGTACTGGGCTTACCCAAAGCTTCAACTGCCAATATTCTGTAACATCTCAATTCAGAACTCCAAAACTATTTCAATACACTGATTTCTTAGCTTAACGTTTCCTATGATCGGGCCATACCTTTTATTTGGAAAAGAGCAAGTGAAGGCAAGCTCACGGTACTTAACTTGCAGTTAATAGTCACAACCCTGGTATTAGATGTGCTCAAAATGGCAAATAAACTGATACCTACTTTTCAGAAACCACTAATGAGCATGTGAGAACGTACTTTCCTTTTTTTTTTTTTTTTTTGGCGGTACGCAGGCCCCTCACTGCTGTGGCCTCTCCTGTTGTGGAGCACAGGCTCCGGACACGCAAGCTCCGCGGCATGTGGGATCTTCCCGGACCGGGGCATGAACCCGTGTCCCCTGCATCGACAGGCGGACTCTCAACCACTGCGCCACCAGGAAAGCCTATACTTTCCTTTTTTGATACAGGGCAGAAATATGGACTGCAAATGCTTTTTGTAGGAGATGATGGGAAGTGACGAGTTAGAAAGAGGGCTCCGCATACAATAAATTTTTTAAAATGAAAAAGCAGACCTTAATCCCTTATAACACAACATACAAGGGGGACTCTCCAAATGGTGACAGCAGTTGGCAGAATTCAAATTCATGGGGAGACTGTCTACGGGAGATGGTGGACTAACAGTGCAGAGGGAAAAGTGACTTGGTACATGATTCACTATAGTAAATGACCTAGCAGTTGATAAGGCAAAAATTGCAGCCAAAGATATAAAAGATTATTTAAACTCCATGGATGAAGTGAAGATTAGAAAAATCACAAGAGTATAAATGAGGGAAAAGTTAAAGTTAATAAATAAGATTAAATCATTAAGTACAATAAATAAGGTACTAGTATAAGATGACATACTGGACAACTAGAAAGAAAATCTAGAAAAATTATTGCTGAAAATTATATTTCTATTAAACATTGTTTATAGGTATTTAACCAAGTTTATGTGCAATGTTTTTCCTTCTACATTTATCCTAAGTACTTACTATATGCCAGGCCCTGCTCTAGACTTTACAGATACAACTCTAAGCAGACAGAAACCCCTGCTCTTGTGCACTCAGAGTCTAGGGGAGGGAGATAAATAACCAAACTATATTCTTTCTCAATGGGTAAGAAGCCTAGGGAGGGGGAAGTAAGCATAAAAGAGAAAGGATGGGTGTGGGCTGTTCTTCTGGTTAGGGTAGTTAGGGAAGACTGTACTGATAAGGGGATGACATACAAGGAGGGACCTGAAAGGAGGAGGGAGCACAATGCAGGAAATGGGGAGGGTGATTAAGGCATAGAAAAGAGCAAAGAGGCCAATATATGTGTGTGTGTGTGTGTGTGTGTGTGTGTGTGTGTGTGTGTTGGGGGGTA